GGTTTCGGTTGGTTATAACCCGCCTGAGGTCTGAGGGTTGGAAACAAGTAACCCAAGAGAACACGGACGAAGTGAGAAACTAGCAGATATGGTTGATATGAAGTTTAAACCCAAACTGAAGGAAGGCCACCGTGTCCCCTGAAGTCTTGTTGGAGGATTTTATTTCCTTTTTTAGAGGTAGTTTCCCTTTCTAAACTTTTCTCCTCTCACCCTCTCTCTGATGCCTTTTTGTCGGCCTCCTCTTCCCCGTCCTCCCCCCTCAGTTTCCTCTCCCTCACCTCTTCTGTCGGGTCATTTTTCTTGTATGCCATCTCCTGGATGTCTCACCTGAGCAGAGCCTCTCTCCCGGCTGAAGATCTATGGGCCCTGGATTTCACATTTTCAGCTTATTTACCTCGTCATTTGTTTTCATTTTTTTACTGATGCGGGTCATTTGACAGTTCGCCATCGTTCCTCTCAAATCTCCGCCGCACAAACACTCATACATTACAGCTTTGCGCGTCTCCCCCTCGCAGGCAGCCATAGGAGAGAGGAGGAAATATGTTTCCACCACATGCTGATTTACTGCGAGCTGCTGCTGGAGGCTGATGGATATTTGTTTCCGTGCAGCCGCCCGCAGTCAGACGGAGACTGCTGCTACGTCTTCATGATGAGCTCTCACGTCCTGGTGTGGGAAATTTCAGCTCAGATGTTGTTTAGGAAGAAAGAAAAATCAAGGTGTTTGTCTCAGCGGCATCATGAATCATGATGGAGGGGGATGACTTTCCATGGCAGGTTGGCAGTCATTAAACAGTGTTAAAGAAAAGCCAGAACAGGTGTAGTGTCTTCTTAAAGTACCTGAGCTGACAGAGAGATTTATGCTCTTTAACAACATCTCTCACAGACGCTCTCTCTTCTCTGGGTTTGAGTAGATCTGGATTTATTTATGAAGCTGATTCTGCGACCCGAGCAGAGGCGAGAGTCGAAGCGTTCATGAGTTATCCGAACCAAGACGGTGATCAACCTGATTGGTGGACTCAGAGGTTCTGATTTTCTGACGTGTCTGAGATTAATATAAATGTGATTTCTACTGTAAAATAAAGTGAAGCTGATCTACTCACAGCAAAGACTGAAGACTTCATAGTTTTCCAGTTTGTATTGATTGATTGAAGTTTAATTTCAACATATTAAAAATAATAATATTAATGAAAAAGTAAAGAATTCAACAACAAATGACAAAGTTATTCATGTTCAAAAAGGAGAGGGAAGAAGTCAAGTCTTCTCTAGTCTTACCCCTTCTCCTACACTCATGATTTATATATATCATAATATTAAATAATAATGTTAATCATCATAATAATAATATCGATAAAAATAATCACTACAGTGAAAATAACAAAACAATAATGATAACAGTAACTATGATTGTACACCCCTGTATCCTGTGAAAACATATTCTTTATATTTAGTTTTAAACAGTTTTTTATATTTGGACGTTATTTTAACTCCTCACTCAAACCATTCCACAGTCTCACCCCACAGAATCAAATCCAAAATCGTTTTCTACTTGTGTGGATTTTATTTATTATGTTTGCCTCAGTGAATTCACAACACTGAGTGTCAGTCATCGATATTAAATAATAAGGTAACTTACAAAACTCAGACTGTCCGATTTACTAAACCTGAAACTTTTTAAATCTTTTTTTTTACTCTGAGAAGTCCGACTTTCACGACATAATTCAGATTTCTGAGTTTAAAGTGGAGCTTCAAATTCAGAATTAACTTTAATCTGATAATTCCTGACTTTTTAATCAGACTTCTGAGACTAAAGTCTGACTACAAACTTTGAATTCTGACTTAAATCTCAGGAGGCGTTTTATTTTTCCCAGAATTCCAAGTCTTAATTCAGAATTTTAACTCAGAGTTCCAAGACTAAAAAAGTTCTGATTTTAATCTCAGAATTCTGTTTTATCTTTGAATTCTTTAAGAAATCTAATGTTGCGTTCGAGTTAACAAGGAAGTCAGAAGTCCGAGTTGGAAATGACGTCACACCTAAGTTCCCAGCGTTTCAGTTTCCAAGTCAGAAAAAAGCAAAATCGGAGGCGGAAACAAGATGGCTACATCTACAAAAGTTATTTTAGCGCTAGTCTTATATTCGGACAAGGCAAGCGCTAAAATAACTCATGTTCAGTTCAGACTTCTGCCTTCCGAGGTAACTCAAATGGAGATTTCTTACTTCAAACTCAGAATTCTTTAAAGTCAGAAATTTGCGGGGAAAAAAAAGAATTCTGATTGATTCAGCGATTCAAGATCAAAGTCAAAATTTTATCTGTTTTTTTTTATTATTATAGTAGACCCAGTTCATTCTTCTGCACACCTGTATTTTGCTCCTGTCATATGCTGTAACTCCACATATCTAATTAACGTTACTGTTGTTTGTATTTAAATTATTAAGTTTTTGTGACTGTGTGCGGACGCCTCTGTCTTCTTTGTCTTCACATAAACGATAATCAGGTTTCAGACCGACCGGACTGAGAATATCTGGGTTCATTTTCAGTGCAGGTCCAACATTAACGGACAAACTGTTTCCTGTGTGGTGATGATATTGGTGAATTTCCTCTCCGTGTATCTCTGTGTCTCATGAATTTTACATGTCGGGCAGTAATTCAGCAGATACATGGATCCAAACATAATAGCGCTCCTGAACAAATAGGCCTTTAATTTGCCTTTTGATAGCAGGACAATGAAAAGTACTGTATAGAGAGTTATGGGCATTAGAAAATAAGCTTCCCTGATCTTTACGCTCCATTATCTGTAATCCTTTTACACACACACACACACACTAACACACTCGCAGCTGCACCACTGTGGGCTGGTTTACGACTGTGAGAAGTCCACCGGTTTGTTAAGTCTTTGCTCCTGCAAGCTGGCAGTAAAAGGTTAACAAGCTGCCTGTGATAAATGGAGGCAGTGAGAGCGTGATGAGGTTCAGCCTGATATTCCCTCTGCTAACAGCTTCACATCAGCGTTTACTGCCAGAGGTTAGCAGCACGGTCAGCGGAAAACGGCCGACTAACTAGGAGTGAGGTCAGCAGACGATAAAAAACATCAACACAGCATCCCGGAGCTCGTCATCCCCGGGAATCACGGGGTGTTTTCAGGGTCAGGATTAGCCTTTCAGATTATGTTAATATCAGCACATTAGTTCTGAAGAGCGGTCCGACATCAGCCCTCGAGTGCAGCCTCTCTCCCCCCAGTTACAGGAGACAGGAGGTTTCTGGTTTCCAGTTTAGAGATCGGACCAGTTCATCATGATGCAGCACTAAAACTGGAACCAAGATCAACAGGCAAGATGAATATTCAGCAACATCAGCGTCCAGATTTCCTGACGTCTTTGAATGCATAAACAAAAGATGAGCTCTGTTCAGCAAACAAACATTTTCAACCTTGTTTCCTCTCTGATTCTTTAGTTTTTGGTTGCAGTTAAATCAGTTTATTTTTCACCGGAGTTTCCGAAGTATTCTGAGTCTGATTCCGATCATTTTTCAGGTTCATACCGCTGAAGTCGGCCGGAGTGACGCCTCTGAAACTTAGTGTCTACGTGGGAAACTGAACCTCAAACCTTCAAGAGGTGAAACACTCAACTTTTAAAGGACGTTTAAGACACGAGGCTGAGAGGTGGGACCATTATTCCTCTTATTGCATCGGGGAAGTCGCCCCCTGCTGGCCGTTACAGTTGTTTGTGTGACTTTCAGGATGTTTCTGAACCTCTGCAGGAGGTGAAGTGAGCAGTGAAAGAAAGGAAACGTAAAAAAATGTGGAAAAATCTCTTTATTTGGTTAAAAATTTTGGTCTCTTGTATTTCTTGTATTTTTCCTCCCGGATGCCGACTGTTAATTACTTTTTAGACACCCTGACCAGGACGGATTTCGCCGAGAGCCTTTTCTGAGTTTTAATTAAGAATTAATTCATTAATTTTGATAAACTGTTGGTGTGTCAGTGTGGAGCTCTTGCAGCAAGCCCTCGCTCAGACCTGTGGTGAGAGTGAAAGCGGCTGCTTCATCTGTCATTAACTTTAATAATTACACCAAATCTGTGGATCTGTTTCCCTGCAGCCTGTGAAGTGTTTCTCTGCAGGCTGTTAAAAGGCGATTAGCACGAGTGTGTCTGTGCTTTACCGTCCAGAACATTCAGGGAAATATCCAGCAAACACTTGGAAAAATACATCCAATTTGAATAAATCTGAAAAATCAGTGAATGATAAATCCAGATGAGTCATCTCTCACACAGAGGTGCTGAAGAGCGAGCGGCTGAATCACAGAGAGGAAATTAAAACGCAGAGAGAAATCAGAGTGGTCATTTTTATTCCACCTCCCTCAGCTCCTCTCCTCTCTTCTTCTACAAATGAACAAAGTTTTATTTCAGTCACAGCTGGTTTAAATAGATTTAAATGGACCGTCGTGCATTTGTTGAAGGAATCACCACCTGTAGAAAAAGTCATCCTGCAGTTTGACAGAGGAGTGATCCTCACAGACAAACTCTGTAATTAAACCTCCGGTGAGAATAAACATGATAAACTCTGACAGTCACTTACCCAGCTGATTTTTCAACTGTTTGCTCTTTGCTTTAATTGCACATTAGTGTTATTCAGCGTGACTCTGTAGTATATGAGGACACTAAAGTGAACCCACTCTGAAATGCTTTGGGACACTAATGTTTGCCTTTCTTCTTCTTTATTGCTGCAGTGACGTTAGACCGTACCTCCTCAGATCTGTTAGTCCTGAAAAACTCTTTGTCTGGATGGCAGCAGATGTTTCTCTAAACCTGGAGATGTAGTTCAGCATAAATGGAGCCTTTACAGATGTGGAACATACCCATGACATGGACTCTGATGATCCCCAGACCATCAGGGAGCAGAAACCGGCCGGGCGGACCCTCTACTCTTAGAGGAGGAGGATGTAGAGTTCAGGATTTCCAAGAAATGTGTCAGATTTTCAGACAAAGTCAAGACAAGGAGATTACAAAATTCTAACTTTGATTTTAGAATTCTAACTTAGATCTTAAAATTCTAACTTTGAATTCAGAATTCTGGCTTTGATATTAGAGTTCTAACTTTGAACACGGAATTCTCACTTTGAATTCAGAATTCTATCTCTTATTTCAGAGTTCTTTAATCACAAAGTTCTAACTTTGATCTCAGCATTCTAACTTTAAACACATAATTCTACGTTTGATCTCAGAATTCTCACTTTGATTTTAGAATTTTAACTTTAAACACAGAATTCTTTGATTTTAGAATTCTGACCCTTATTTCGGAGTTCTTTAATCACAGAGTTCTGACTTTGATCTCAGAATTGTAACTTTGATCAAACCTTTAATGTTTCATAACATTGAATTCTGGAAAGAGTGCGTTCGGTTGATTGTTATATCATTGATCATTTGTGTGGCACGTTTTCACAGACTTTTGAATGTGTTGTTGTTCTTTAGGTAAATTCCCAGATACTTTAAAAAAACAGGATCATTATTGACTCAGAAATGTATCATTAGGGTTTTTTTCCATGTTGACTCTTAATAAACCTAATCCTGGTTTTGATTTTAAGTATTTTCAGACCATAAAAGTCTGTTTTTATCACCATTTTAAACATGGTCATAACCTTATAGGAAACAGGGATTTATGGACGTTAATATCCATCAACCCACCGAACGTGTGTGCTGCTCCCACAGGCCTCTTTGGCAGCTTGACCTTTAAAAATATTCTTCTGGAATAACACCAACACTGGGACTCTACAGCCTCCATGAACATAACCTGTCCACAGTCATCACCTTTGAAAAACCACCGGCCACAGGAGCCGGACGGACAACAGTAAATACCAAACCCGAGATTTCCTAAAGGCAACCCTGTAAATCTTTGTGAATGTAAAAACATTTTCTCCGTTAATTCAATGATGTATTTCAGACACCAAGGAAACAGGAGAGAGAAAAATGAGCTCGTAGGAAAAGTCGGACCTGACTTCCTGAGATGAAAAGCTGAAGAAGCCAATCGGCATCAAAGCGCTCGTACAAATCAGCACAGTATGAGCTCGACAAAGCGTTCACTTTAACCACAGAGACACATTTCCACGGATGTTGAAAACAGCAGATTTTTCTGCCGTGTTGTTGGTAAACGGGTCTGATTCTCCCTCAGCTGTTTTTCGAAGGCGGTCTGTTGGTCTTTTTTTATTCCTCGACCTGTAAAACAGCGCCGTCTCTTCTTCAGGACTCTCTTCTTGTTCCGCTTCAACCCCCTGCAGCGTTTAACCCCCTGCTCGCTCCAAATTAAAGCTCAATAAAAAGTTCAGTTTAACAAGCCGAGTGTGGGATTTGGCTCTCTGCTTTTCTTCTCATTAAGCGTGCAGGAGATGATTATTTCTCCCCTTTTCTTCTCTGCAGCGCTGAAGTGGAATTACACCCCAGCGCTGCTCCTCTTCTGGGTGCTTTTATGGATCTCGGCCTCTCCTGCAGCAGGGCGGCGGATTATTAATCAGATTCATAAATAATAAAAGATGGCAGCGAGGGCCCTGGGCGCCGGGGCCACTGCTTCTTCCTCAGTGAGGAGAAATGATGGAGGATAAGTCAGAGAGAACAATATTAACACAAAGCCAGCTGGATTTATCCAAAGACTGCTTCAGTCCACCTGCTGCTCCACGTCTTTATCAAACCTGAGCCGCTTCATATTCACGACAGCGGGAGAAATTAGCATCAGGCTAATCTCTTTCATTGTGTTGAAGCTAACGCTGCTGCTAACCTGCTACCTGAGAGGAGAGTTTCTGGAACTTCAGAGTTTTTCTGAAGAAACTGAAGGTTTCCAGACGTCACCTGTGGGGAATTATGGATTTGGATGACTGTGTAAACTTTGGCAGAATAATTGGGTTTTGTGAGAACAAAGAATTTAACTTTCTGGGACAAAGATTCTGACAAAAAAAATTTAACTTTAGCCTCCGTCTGACTCTGTAAAAACGGCACCAGATTTTACATCGTAGCTTCAGCTTCAACTGATTAAAAAACAACCGAATTAACGACCAACGTGGCAAACTCGAGAGCGAATACAAAGACGGTTAAAAATATCGCCTTAAAAACAGAGAAATATCTTCATATAGTTCTTCATTTACCAAAACCAAAAGGCCTTGTGCTTCACAAACTCAGCAGCAGGGGGCAGAAATGAGACTGATAGAGGGAGGGAGAGACAGGGAGAGACAGTGCGACTGTTTCACTAAGAATAGATGTGTGTGAATTGTAAAATGTACTCAGGTGAAGTTAGTTTCAGGTTGGATATATTTTCCTGTAAATACGGCGGTGAAGTTAGTTTTAGGTTGGATATATTTTCCTGTAAATACGGCGGTGAAGTTAGTTTCAGGTTGGATATATTTTCCTGTAAATAAAGCGGTGAAGTTAGTTTCAGGTTGGATATATTTTCCTGTAAATACGGCGGTGAAGTTAGTTTTAGGTTGGATATATTTTCCTGTAAATACGGCGGTGAAGTTAGTTTTAGGTTGGATATATTTTCCTGTAAATACGGCGGTGAAGTTAGTTTCAGGTTGGATATATTTTCCTGTAAATAAAGCGGTGAAGTTAGTTTCAGGTTGGATATATTTTCCTGTAAATACGGCGGTGAAGTTAGTTTTAGGTTGGATATATTTTCCTGTAAATACGGCGGTGAAGTTAGTTTTAGGTTGGATATATTTTCCTGTAAATACGGCGGTGAAGTTAGTTTCAGGTTGGATATATTTTCCTGTAAATACGGCGGTGAAGTTAGTTTTAGGTTGGATATATTTTCCTGTAAATACGGCGGTGAAGTTAGTTTCAGGTTGGATATATTTTCCTGTAAATACGGCGGTGAAGTTAGTTTTAGGTTGGATATATTTCCCTGTAAATACGGCGGTGAAGTTAGTTTTAGGTTGGATATATTTTCCTGTAAATACGGCGGTGAAGTTAGTTTCAGGTTGGATATATTTTCCTGTAAATACGGCGGTGAAGTTAGTTTCAGGTTGGATATATTTCCCTGTAAATACAGCGGTGAAGTTAGTTTTAGGTTGGATATATTTCCCTGTAAATACAGCGGTGAAGTTAGTTTTAGGTTGGATATATTTTCCTGTAAATACGGCGGTGAAGTTAGTTTCAGGTTGGATATATTTCCCTGTAAATACAGCGGTGAAGTTAGTTTTAGGTTGGATATATTTTCCTGTAAATACGGCGGTGAAGTTAGTTTCAGGTTGGATATATTTCCCTGTAAATACAGCGGTGAAGTTAGTTTCAGGTTGGATATATTTCCCTGTAAATACGGCGGTGAAGTTAGTTTCAGGTTGGATATATTTCCCTGTAAATACAGCGGTGAAGTTAGTTTCAGGTTGGATATATTTTCCTGTAAATAAAGCGGTGAAGTTAGTTTTAGGTTGGATATATTTTCCTGTAAATACGGCGGTGAAGTTAGTTTCAGGTTGGATATATTTCCCTGTAAATACAGCGGTGAAGTTAGTTTTAGGTTGGATATATTTCCCTGTAAATACAGCGGTGAAGTTAGTTTCAGGTTGGATATATTTTCCTGTAAATACGGCGGTGAAGTTAGTTTCAGGTTGGATATATTTTCCTGTAAATACGGCGGTGAAGTTAGTTTTACAATTTTTCGTCTCGTTTTAATCAAAAGTAATTCGACAGGTGTTTTATAGCCGACTGAACTAGATTTGACAGAAGGATATTCGTCATGGTTATAAAAACTCCATATCAGTCACACCTTTAACTGCTTGTTTACTCATTTAAACTAAGATTGTAGCCGACCACGCTGCTGTTTTATGATAATAAAATGTTGAAAGCCTGTTAGAAAAAGTCAAAGTTCTCCAGAGGCTTAAAACTTCATCAGCACACACCACCAGCATCGTAGCCGTCTCGGTGTCGGTCGGCGACTTTATTAAACTCAAAACAATCCCATCTTAGAGCGACGGCGTGAAAAACACTTCCAAACATCGCCTCAGGAGGAGGAGGAGGAGGAAACACGATCAGCAACAACGATGCTCGACCAGCGCATCTACGGCCGATCGTCTCACAGCTCTATTCCGGTTGCACCAGCTACGTGTGGCCAATCAAAAGTGAGTGTTTAGACGCGGGTCATGTTACACGAACAGAGATATTATAAAGTAGATCTTATCGATCAGACAGAAAGTTAAAATGATCAACTTTGCCGATCTTCATGAACTTTGTGGTTCAGACACTCTGACGTCAGTAAGAAACGTGTTTGATGGAGAGAATTAAATCTGTTCAGACTGAAGTTCAGGATTATATTTTCAGTCAGTGGATGTAAACTTTATTTGAATAATCCACTTTTTTAAAAACCACATTAATGAAGTGCTTTGACCCGGCACAGATATTAAGCACATGTTTTATTTTCCTCCTCCTTTGCGGTAATTCAGGCTCGTCAGTTGGCGAACCTCGAACAAACGCCACCCCCGAGGTCGCAGCGACTTATCGGACCGCGACCTCTGACCCCTGGCAGCTGAATGAGGAGGAATAAATGAGCAGGTACGAGAGGGGGCTGAGCACGGCGGTGCCCGCAGTAAGTGGCAGTTTATGGAAATGAGAGGTGATCTTTCCACCTGGGCGAGATAACCTCTGCGTTAATCCTCGCTCCCCGACCTCCCACCGCTCCGCTCGCCACACTTTCATTACAGTTTAATCACCGTCCTAAAAAAGACAGGGAGCAAAGTGAAGTTAAAAACTGCTGCCCATCAACGCGGCTCTGTCTGAAACTCATCAAACTGTCTATAACTCGGCCTCCAGAGAAACCTTTTCACTCCCCCGCCCGTCCTCCCATGTCCCCTCAAAATCTCTCTGTCCCTTCTTTTTTCAAAACTGAATCCTCATTTCCTTTCCTTAACTCCTTCTTCTTCCTCCTTTAACCTTCCTAGCCCATCCTCCTGTCAGCACAAACTCAGTTCCAGGACCCTGACCAGTAATTGATGCTCCTCCTGTCAATAAACAGCTCTCCAAAGGCGGGTCTGTGCGTCAATATTCAGACCAGTTTGATGTTTGGGTTTGAAACTTATTTTTGATGTTTAATCTGATTTTATTTTTCGTGTATGATGACCGACCTTGCCTCAGTCGGTGTCCATACGAGGATAATTTTAGTGTTTTGCCTAAAAACCATTCGTTAGTGTGATTCCTGTTTGTCATGTTCATTCTGATCCAGATCTACTGATTATGATAACAGTCCTCACCAGAGCAGGTCTCGTGTAAATATAAAGACTAATTTTCTGTTTTGCTTTAAAACACAGACTTAAATTTTCACTGTTCAGTCGACTCCACGTGTGGAAACATCCTCAGCTAAAGTCGGTGTTTCTACACTTCAATTTAAAGACAGTTTTCATGTTGACTTTTAAAACATGAAGTTATTATGATTCCAACCGACAATGTTCAATCCGACCCACATTTTTCATGCATGACAGCAGTCCTGTTCAAAACTGGTTTACGGATAATTAATATAAGGACAAGGTCATTATGGTTATTATGTTTACAATCTCCACCTTCATCCTGATCGTCTCCTAAAAGGTCGTATCCTCCGATCGTAGCTGATCGTAACCATTCAAGTTAACGTGTCAATTTACACCGACTTCTTTCCGTTCCTCTGCGGATCGCCGGACTCCTCAGCTGATCACAAGAGTTCTAGTTTTTCTGGACGCCGGAGCATGGCGGATAAATTCAGCACAGATTAACCCGTGCTGGAAAGGAAGTCGGGCACAGACACAAAATAAAACATCCGGCTTCTTTTCAAAATAAAACACTCCGGTGGAGACGAACAAGTGAAAGGTTTTTAGACGTCATTTCACCCCGATGACACCATGGATGAGGAGATGCTGATTCTAGAAGTCTAGAAGTAGATTTCCTCCTCTGGAAGGACACAATCTACTGCTTATATGTCTATGTGTCTGTCTTTAGAGAGACAACTCGTTATGTCGGTGTGTAACTGATCATTTCACTTTACGCAGTTGTCGTTAATATTCCTGTAAACATGAAGTCAAAATACAGCGTCTGTCTTTCCAATCTTCACTCTGCATCTTTTTTTAACACGTATGATAAAAGTGAATCATCAGCTTGTTTGGTCAACAGGTGTGGAATCTAGATATTCGGTGTTGGCTCATGGCGCCCCCTACAGTATGGAGGCAGTAGTAACTCCCATTTATTGTTTTTAATTCACCCTGTATGTTTATTAGGTGACAGCTTGAACACTTTCAGTATTTTCCGCTGTTTTGACTTAATGCTCCTCAGTCTGTCTTTCCTGGTCGTCCTCTTTACTCCACAGGCTTCCTACCTCCTTCCCATATCTCCTATCCTTCTTTCCTAGCATCCTTTGACATCAGAACTGGTTTATACAGACGGATGAGCGTCTCTTATTTCTTTGTATGGATAAAAAAAGAGAAAATATTGTAATTCATGTTTCCATCATGTTCATTTCTCACTTCCTTCGACTTCTCCTTTAGCCCTTGTTTCCTTTCTTATATCCTTTTTCCTTTCCTTTCCCCCACACACCTGTTCTCGCTTCACCTCCCTCTCTCTCTCTCCCTGTCTCTCTCTCTCTCTCTCTCTCTCCCTCTCTCTCTCCCTCTCTCTCTGATCAAACACTCGCCTCCTCCTGACCTGACGTCTGACCCGGGTTCATCGGAGGCGGCTCAGGTGCAGCGTGCGGCTGATTCTTCACGCGTGTTTGATTCCTGTTCATGAGGAGGTCACATGGGTGTGACGTCACAGATATGGCGGCAGACGGACCGACGGACGACAGGAAGAGAATTAATGAGAGGAGATCACCGATGAAGGATACAGACCAGGAGAGCTGAACGAATGTCTGATGTTCGTATGAAGTCAGGAAGTCAGCTGTGAAATGTGAGAACAGAAATAAGGTCAGCCTTCCTTTTCCTTTACTTTCCTACCTCCTTGAGTCCTTCCTTGCCTCCTCCATCCTAACAGCTAAAATGAACCTTTCTAATCGTTAAAGTCCAATAAAAACTCAGGAAGACGAAGTGTCGTGGAAGAAAGTGTCGCGGCATTTACCTCTGGATAAGTCTGCGAACAAACGCCGATATTTCCTGGTCTATGTTCATCTGAGGAGTCTCAGCTTCACTGTGAACACTCGTTTAGACTGAAGCTTCACTGTGAACACTCGTTTACACTGAAGCTGAGACTTCGACTTCCTTCAGTCTGAACCTGAAACACAAACTGATGTTCTTGTGGTTTTCTGAACGGGTCTGGAAATGTAAAAACTCAAGAAAACCGAATTATCGCGTTATTCCGATTAAGACCGGACAACTGAAGGTCATGGAAACACCTTAGTCCGGCTATCATTTAAAGAACTTTGACTCAGAAGCAACTGCGACATCGCTGAAGCACGAAAAATTTCCACTTTTGGAACGACGAGGAGAGCGCCGTTATACTTCCTGTCCTGACAGAAATGGACATTTCAAAGTATATGGACGGTCATAAAACGAGGAACGGAGACATTTTTTAAAAAGGTTCGGAAACGGCGCCACTGAAAAGACCCATATCGCCCCCTAGTGTTGGGGAGGAGGACACGTTCCCGGAGCAGATTAGCGTTCTTTCAAGCTTCTTTATGTCCTTTACTTCCTTCCTCCCTTTCCCTCTCCTACCTCCTTATTCTCTTCCCTCACTCCTATAGCTCCTCCCTGATTCTCCTTCCTTCCTCCTCGTACCTTAAACCTCTGTCATCCCTTTTATTTCTCTTGACCTCAACATCATTCACACCTTTCCTTCTCACTTCCTTCCCTGCTTCCTCATCCCTCACACAGGTGAGTTTTCTGACCCCACAGAGGAAGTTTTAAAGCTCCTCTAAGTTGACGTAACTTTCCTTTAGGAGTCTTTTCCTGCTTTTTCCTCCGTCGGCTGAAATCATTAAAACGAATCTCTCCGAGTCTCTTTGTTCACCTCGGCGCTCCCTTCCAGCTCTGCGACTCTCCTGCTTTCTTTTCTCCTCAAACTGCCATTCTCCGGCTCGTCCTTTTTCCCGCCTTTGTTTAATTTCTTCTGTAAGCACATGAAGATTAATTGGGCCTCTCTTTCAACTTTTTCCTGGCACCTTTTTCCTCTCGCTCTCTCCCTCTCGCAGGAATGCCTCTCATCATCTTTTCATTAGCGCTACCTCTGCCCTTATACATTATTCAGCCCGAGTCTCTGCAGAGCTCGTCCTTTATTAGACTGTCGCCAGAGTGCATTCCACAAACTCATTAAAAAACTATTAAAGGCTGATGATTTCCTCTGATAAAGCAGAGCCAGCTCCAGGTTTGCTTTTCTGACTGATCCTCCGACGCCGTCACACGTTACAGCTCGAGTCAAGAGGAACATCTGCACGCCGGCTCAGCTCGGGCTCTAATTTAACCTTTTAAAAGAGACGTTTAATCCAGGCTTGATCTGAGGGAACAGCCGTGACACCCACTTCCATTTACCTTCAGCAAACAGATGATTCCTTCTGCACACCTGAAGCTCTTTTTGAAGCTGAAGTTTAAGCAAACCTGTCAGTTTAATTCTACCTTTGAGCAGATCCTGATCAACATAATCCTGTTTCTATTACGCGTAAAAAAAAACACAAACATAATAATGACAACCTTTATACTTTGGTGAAAGTAAGCCTTGACTTCGGAGGTATCGGGCTTGGCGACAAAAAGGTCGTATCCTCCGATCGTAGCTGATCGTAACCATTCAAGTTAACGTGTCAATTTACACCGACTTCTTTCCGTTCCTCTGCGGATCGCCGGACTCCTCAGCTGATCACAAGAGTTCTATTTTTTCTGGACGCCGGAGCATGGCGGATAAATTCAGCACAGATTAACCCGTGCTGGAAAGGAAGTCGGGCACAGACACAAAATAAAACATCCGGCTTCTTTTCAAAATAAAACACGAACGACAAACAAGTGAAAGGTTTTTAGACGGCAGTAGCTCAGGAGGTAGAGCGGTCGTCCAATAACCGGAAGGATGAGCGAGATGCTGATTCTAGAATCCAAGAAGTAGTTTCCTCCTCTGGCAAGGACACAATCTACTGCTCCCAGTATATGTCCTCCATGTGTCTGATTGTGAGTTAGAGAGACAACTCGTTATCGACCGATTGAACGTGAATCTGCACGTTCCACCACCACCAAAGTGTCTTTCTTTGAAGAAGAACTCCGAAGCCATTCCGAACACATGGGGGGTCTAGAAATGGACACAATGAGATTCAACAACGAAAATACAGAGAGATTCTAGAATAGACAGTGTGATTCTAGAACGAAACACCTCTTCATCATCTCTTCTTGCACTTCTTTGTTTCGGTAACACAAGCTAGCATCAGTGAAGTAATGCTGAATAAAGATAACGTTTTTTTGTATCAGAGACACATAAAGAATTCAGATTTCTGAAGACCTTTCTCCTTCTAAAATAAAGTCGTGTTCAAGTCAAAATATTCTGAGAATAGAATCATCACGCTCTGAGAATAAAGTGGTAGTTTTGGTTCAGGGTGAGCAGCCAGCTGTCTGAGGACCAAAATGAGGACTGCGGAGCGTCTAATTAAAGTGTCCGCGATGTTTTAAGGATCAGGACTCTGAACAGACCGGGCAGAGAGGCGAGACGGGTGGTACCCCTTCTTAAAAACAGAAATATGAGGCTGATGGTTGATGAACTCTGAGGACTGAGGTTAGTTAAAGGACAACGAGTCGTAGGAAAATGACTTTTAAAGTCTTTTTGTGTGTCTGTGTGTCCCCAACACTTGGATGTACCTACGACTCATTGTGTTTGTTTGGTATTACTTCAATCAATCAATCAATCAACTTTATTTCTATAGCACATTTAAAAGAATCACAAGGGTAGCCAAAGTGCTGTACAGTGACACATAAAAACAAATAAAACAAGCAAAGAACAAGATAAAGTGAGCAGAAATACATTAATGCAAAAGAATAAATAAGTGAATAAATAAACAGGCTCACGGCAAGTGCTAAGATGATAAAAAACAAATTAACACTACAATGTACTAAAAGCCAATGAGTAAAAGTGTGTTTTTAAAAGGGATTTAAAAACAGTAAATGAGGAGGCCTGTCTAATTTTCAAGGGCAACTCATTCCAGAGCTTAGGGGCAGCAGCAGCAAACGCTCTGTCCCCTCTGAGCTTCAGCCTAGTACTGGGGACCATCAGTAAAAGCTGATCAGCTGATCTTAGGGGTCGGGGTGGGCAATAAGGCTGGAGCATCTCCGAAATATAGGGTGGAGCAAGATTGTTCAGGCCTTTAAAAACAAATACTAAAAGCTTAAAATGAATTCTGTACTGAACAGGGAGCCAGTGTAAGGATGCCAGGATGGGGGTGATGTGCTCACGCCTGCGGGTCTGTGTCAGGAGACGTGCAGCAGAGTTCTGCACAAGCTGCAGGCGGGCAAGGGAAGCCTGGCTGATCCCTACGTACAAGGAGTTACAGTAGTCAAGACGGGTAGTTATAAAAGCATGGATTAATTTTTCCAGGTCAGGTCTTGATAAAATGGGCTTCACCTTCGCTATTTGACGTAGCTGATAAAAACTTTTTTGTACCACCCCGCTGATCTGCTTCTCAAATTTAAAATCAGGGTCAAACTTACTTGACTAATGTCAGCCTGTTTACTATAACAATTAAAAAAAATCATAATCTCTGAACTGAGCGTAAAAATGTAATCATCAGATAAATCTCTTGGTCCTCGACGGCCATCACTAAATGTTGCTAAATGTCCTCATTCTACGGACTGCACCTTTAAGAAACAGTTACTGATATTCATCACACATTTAAGTAAAACCATCTGACCCAGCAGACAAAAAAAACAAAAACAGAGATGGACAGTCAACACACCCTGGAGGAGTGGATCATTTTAAGGCTGATCATGTTTCCTGTTAAAAACCTTCTATGAGTTACAGAGTTTGGTGCGGCGCTGATATAACGTCAGGAAACTGTGTGTAAAGGGGTCAAACTGGATCAAAACGTGTTTAATAGGAACAGAAGTGTTCAGAGTATGAAGATATCAAACAGAGAGGAGCAGGAAGTCTTCATGTTCGGGTCGCTGGATCGATTTCTCTATAAATAACAGCAGCTCTGAACATGGATTAAATAAACCCACCAAAGACTCTTCTGTTTGAAGCAACAACAGTCGCTTTTTCACGGGGAAATTAGAGGCATTTAGGCGATGAAAGATGTTTTGGTTCTTGGTGAAACGGTTTCTCTCTCTACACCTCCGAGTCTCTCGCTGAAACTAAAAAAAAGGCCTCGCCGAATCAGCCGACACCCTGCGAGCCTGATTGTTGCGCGTTGCTCTCGTCTTATCTGCGCCGGTGTGATCACAGCCGCTGTTAAACTCCCACGGCAAATCACAGAGAGGAGGCAACTCCCCGGAGAGAGCCGAGAACAGAGGCGCTAAAAACACCAAAAGCATCAATTAACATGTCAGAGGAGGCAGAGGAGCTGCGCGGATCTCCAAAATACTCCCAACATCCCCCCCTGGATATAAAACAGCTCAAATCTCTGCTGGATTTTCCAGAAAGTACAGAAAGTCTCTGAGAACATCTGTGAACAGGTGTCAGTATCTCTGAGAGGCTGAAGGTATCAGACTGAGGGAGAGAGAGTGAAGAAACCAGAGGAAGATCAAAATGAAGAGAAATGAAGGATCGTTTCAGCTGCTGTTACAGTTAAAAGATGAACGGGTTTCTGTCACTGTCATCAACCATCGCATTAACCCGTCCAGAACTTTGGGTTCAACCCGAAAACGCTGAGACTGTCATTCTTGAAGAATACTAGAACTGCATGATGGTAGACATCACAGTCATGATGTTTGAACAAAGTTGAACAGAGAATATCAGTGAAGATATAAAAGGGTTCAAGTATCTACAGGGTAATGATCTTAGGTTTACAGATTTAAGTGTAAATAAGCAGACTGGTCAGGACTGGATCTGACCCGACCTGACAGAGCACACAACCCAGCCCCTGGAACAGGCTCTCATGATATCACACATTGACTGCTGCAGCTCCTTACTGGCAGGCCTCTCTGCATCCACGGTCAAACCTCTGCAGATGGTCCAGAATGCAGCAGTTTCCCCAATGATCTATGAGACCCATGAAGTCCCTGTAAGCTCCAGACTCAGGTCTTTAGAGAACACCTCTGTACTTCAGTTCAGCTCTTCTTCTCTGTGGTCCTCAGAGCGAGAATGACTGAAACAGCTGATCCAAACGGTCCCCTTCTACTTCTGAGACACTCTGAGACCCAGCTCCTCGTGAACGGGTCAGCACTTAGTGAACTTAATGGTGAGGATGATGATGATGATGATGGTGATGATGAAGATGAAGATGATAAAAATGATGGTGATGATGAAGATGATGGTTATGGTGATGACGATGATGATGATGATGATGATGATGATGATGATGGTGATGGTGATGATGAAGATGATAATTAAAATAATGATGATGATGATGATGATGATGATGATGATGATGATGATGGTGATGATGATGATGATGGTGATGATGATGATGAAGATAATAATGATAATGATGATGATGATGATGATGATGATGGTGATGATGATGATGGTGATGATGATAATGTTGGTGATGATGATGATGAAGATAATAATGATAATGATGATGATGATGATGATGATGATGATGATGATGATGGTGATGATGAAGATGATAATTAAAATAATGATGATGATGATGATGATGATGATGATGATGGTGATGGTGATGATGAAGATGATAATTAAAATAATGATGATGATGATGATGATGATGTTGGTGATGATGATGATGTTGGTGATGATGATGATGAAGATAATAATGATAATGATGATGATGATGATGATGATGATGATGATGATGATGATGATGATGATGATGATGATGATGATGATGATGATGATGGTTATGATGATGATCATGATGATAATAATGATGATGATGATGATAATAATGATGATGATGATGATGATGAAGATGATGATGATGATGATATAATTAAAATAATGATGATGATGATGTTGGTGATGATGATGATGTTGGTGATGATGATGATGAAGATAATGATAATGATAATGATGATGATGATGATGATGATGAAGATAATGATAATGATGATGATGATGATAATGATGATGATGATGATGATAATGATGACAATGAAGATGATGATGATGATGATAATGATGATGATGATGATGATGATGATGATGATGATAAAAATAGTGATTGATAATGATTGTGATACTGATGACAGTGATGATGATGACAATGGTCATGATGATAATGATGATGATGATGATGATGATGAAGTTGATGACAAGGATGACTTTCATGGTGAGGATGATTGTAATGACTGATGACTATGATGTTGATGATGTTATGATGATGATAGTGATGATGATGATAATTATGATAATGATGATGGTGATGATGACGATCGAGATGATAGTAGTGATCAAGATGACGAGGGTCATGATGATCATGATGATGAGGATGGTGATGACTGTCATGATGATGATGAGGATGATAAACATGATGATGATGATGATGGTTGTTACAGTGATGATGATTGTCAAGATGATTATAATGATGATGATGATGATGATTATGATGGTTACGATGATGAGGAGGATGGTGATGGTCATGATGATGATAAAGATGATGATGGTGATGTAATGATGATGTTGATGATGACGGTTATGGTGATGATGAGGATGGTGCCGACTGTCATGATGATGAGGTGATGATGATGATGATGATGATAAAGATGAGGATGGTGATGATGACGGTGGTGGAATATATGAGATTTTTCCACAAAGCTGTAGTCAGAGGTGGTTATTCGTTGTTTTCGTGTTGCTCCTGATGCTGTTTTTTCTTTTTTTTCTCTCAGCTTCATATTTCGTAAAAAGGCGACAGAAGGAAACTGGTCCTGACATGAAATTTGGAGGCTCGGCTGCAGAAAGTGCTGCGAGTAATGAGCGTCTGCTCCAGGTGTCAAATAAGAGGATTACCTGGTTTGTGGGCTTTCAAAAGATAAGTGGGCATCTGAGCGCTCATCCAGCCTCGCCGTCTGAACCCCGACCTTTCACAGATGGAGGGGGGGCGGGGCTTCAGGGTGGACCTCAAATCCGTCCATCAGGGGAGCTGACATTTCCTCCCTTTGAGAACAACAAACCTGAGCCTCATTCATATGGAAAAATCTGATGGTAACCTTTGAGCCGGGCGCTAATCAAGACGGCGGCAGATAATCTGAGAGTAATCTGCTCTCAGGTCGGTCCCTTCAATGGAGGCAGAGCGAGGATCCGTCTAATCTGTCAGAATTAAATGAGATCCATCACAGATCAGGATAATGGCCCCTGCAGATTGTGTGCAAAAATCTGCATTAATAATTCAGCTCTGATTTTTATTATTCATGAGTGGGAGAGAGTGAGAGGAGAGCAGGGCGAGCGAGCGAGCGAGCTCCCAGGCTTTAAAGGAGCAGACCGTGCATTTAAATCTGCAGATTCAAACATCTGCACCTCGGGAAGGATGACGGAGCAGAAACAAGAAGAAGAGCGGTGAGAAGAAAAAAGGAGAAGCAGCATGAGTGAGCGCAAAGTAGAGAGCAAAAAACACATGTTATGAAATTCAATAATCTGGTATATTATAAAACAAAACAAATAATGTATAAAGCTAAATCACATTTACTCCAGTATACAAAGGTTTGTTTCAACTCAAGAGACAAAGTATGATTTAAGAGATGTCTGTAAATTTACTGTACCAAGGGCAAAAGAAGAGGTTCAAAGAAGATGTATATCTGTTGTCGGGGTTTCACTTTGGAATGATGCTCATATTAATTTAAGAATGTGTCGTACATTTCTGATTTTCAAAAAGATGGTTTACAGTTCGATCTTTGAGGGCTATAAGTCTTCATGATTCTCTAAAGGTTCTTGTTATTTTCTATTATTGGTTCTTTATGAGGATTTATTCTTGATTTTTTTTTAAAGGAGGATATGTTCGTTTTATGATTTGTTCTATGATTTTATGAAATTAGTATTTTATTTTGTATTTTTTTTGTACGTAAAAATTGTTGTTGGGTACCTTAATATGTGCATTTGATAAAGAGGACAGGCTAAAATATAAGCTTATGCTCCTGCCTGTGCCTTTTCAGTCACTTTCTTTATGATATTGTTTGTAAATGTAAATATTAAGTTGTATTCTTCACTCTTCAAAAACAGTCATGAAGCTGTTCACGTGTGTTCTGCAGACGCATCACAACAACAAATAAAAGTGAATTTGGGTTAAAAACAAAAAACTTTAAACTGTTGTTTTTTTAGGAGTAGATCTGATGAGGAGTTTGGTCTCCTCGGCTCATTAAAACTCATCACAGTGTTTTTGATATACAGTAACTCGTTCCTTTTGACCTGCTGAGTTTGGCGTATTTAGGGGCGTGGTTTTCCAGCAGGTCTCTGGATCGCCTTTTTCACTGAAAGTTGGTCAGTCAGCGTTTCCATGATGTTTCTGAAACTTTCCACGACCTGTGAACGTAACTGATGTTGTGAAAAAGAGGTCATGCGTCTCGCCGTGTTGGTGTCAGGAGGAGGATAATCGTCTGAGTGGTCCCTCATCATCTCGCCTCTTTCTCTGAGACTCATTTGGAGATTTTACTAACAGACTCTTTAAAGGTGCAGCCTTTCAAAAAGCAGCTTTATCTCCAACTCACCTCTCTGTTTCCTCTCTGATGAAGAAGAAGAAGAAGTTTGAGGCTGATTAAAACTTTCTTTTTAATGCACTTTATGACTGCAAGTCTGTTTAAAGACTGCAGAGTGGAACTGACAAAGAAGAGCTATCTGTAAAATCCGTCCTCGGGATTAAAACCATCACACCTGAGCGCGGAGGCAGAGAGTCGGAGTTAACTCGGTTTTAATGCTTTCTGTTTAATCTGGGTGGCAGCAGCCCCTCACCTTCATCCGTCTCCTGTGAAGTTTCCTCTTTAAAATATTCAGAGAGACGAGCGAGTGTTTCAACTTTAAAAACCAGAGACTCTCACTGAGATGTCAGCAAAATTCGAGTGAAGGAGCCACGGCGGCTTCTGGCTCAGAGTCATCCTGACCCGTTTGAGTCGAAGGACTTCCTGTGAAGACGGAAAATGTCGGCTATTGACAGAAACCGTCGCAGACAAACATTTCTGCTCTAAATGACTTTAAGCTTCACCTCTCAGACTGTGTGTGAGTTTCACGCTCGCTGAAACTATCCTTAGATGAATTTCCTCTAAAGTTGCTCTACGATCTGTGTCACCGTTGATTTTACACACTCGCGGTGCGTTCAAGGACACCAGTTTTCATCTTTTCTGATTCTTGGTTGTGAAATGTTCAAAAATAGAGATCTCTTTCTGCAGGTGCATGTACGGAGAAACATATTTGTCGGTTTTAAATATTTGCAGATTGAAAAAAAACCTTTAAAAATCACATCTCTGAACTCCGATTCAGTTTCTCTTGTTCAGCTTTAAAATGGTTTTATTCTTAGTTAACTGGGAGGTCTTTAGGTGTTACCAGTGGACACACACAGTCATCCAGAGCTCATTTGTCCTGTGGGGTGCCTCAGGGATCAGTTCTGGGACCTCTCCGTTCTTTTATTTCTATGTCGCCTCTTGGACGTGTGATCTGTGGACATTTCTTTGCACTTTTACGCTGATGACACTTAGCTGTACCTCTCGTTTAGCCGTGAACACCCTAATCACATCTCCTCTCTTTCTAACTGTATGAATGACCTTAAAAACTTCCTACAACATGAACAAGACAGAGGTCATCATGATCGCCCACATCACTGAACATCTAGAGAAAATATTTCTAACTTCTGCAAAAATCTCAGAATCATTTTTGAGAACAATCGTGATCTGGAGAAACTCAGTCGTGTTTTAATGTGTTTAGAAACTCCCTGAAACAGTCGTTCTCACCTTCACCTCTCCTCCCTGGACTCCTGGAGTTCTCTGTAGTTCGTCTGTCTCTGCAGAGCCGACAGGAACCACAGCGAGTCCAGAACTCGTTATACGGACTCCTCACAAAACAGAAACAGACAGAGCAGATCAGCTCGATCTTTTCTAAAAACTCATCATTATTATGCGTCTGCTTTTACTGTATACTTGTTTTTAACGTCTAAAGTTTAAACGTCTTTTAACTTATTTTAATAAGTTTTAGAAACAGGAGAGAAACAGGAAGCTGTGGTATTTTAAGTTAAAAAGATACAGATCTTGAATAGTGACGGTGTCTCAGACATTCGATAAACATCCTGTCAGCTCACATGTAGAGAAATGTGAACGGACCAGAACTGAAGATCTGTAACAGCCTCATGGTGTCCCTCAGGGTTCAACGCTCGGTCCCCTTATCTTTATCGTATCACTGGATGTAAGAAGGCCAGACCGTGGACTATTTCCTGTGACTAAAGGGATATTCCGGCATAAAATCAATTTAGGGTCAAACACACCGTAACACCGAGTTAGACCCCCCCTCCAGAGATGAATGTTGTCGACCGCTTGCTTCTCTAGTTATACCAACTTTAGTAACGACCGCAGGATAGAGATACAGAGAGCCACGCCCCCAACCAAAACGCCACTCTATAGCCACAAATAATGTTCAGAACAGCACCTAACTTCATCAACAGGACATATAGGGTCACAGACATAGTACTAGACACCAAACATCTTTTTAACTTTGACTCATTTCTTTAACAAAGAGACTAAATGAAAAGGTAAAGGTGTTTTTATTGAGCCGAATTATCAACAAAATCATGATTTTGTGAACAGGTATGAATTTATGTGCTGTTGAGTTAATGTATATGAACAAGAGCACAGTTAAGTTAAATCAGATAATTTTCCAATGAGGTTCTGTTACTGAACGGAACTACACCATGATCTACTGAGGTTAGTACATATAGGGTCACAGACATAGTACTAGACACCAAACATCTTTTTAACTTTGACTCATTTCTTTAGCAAAGAGACTAAACACAACTCACCTACTCTCTTCCAGCAGCCGCTTGTTTGTAGAGAGACCTCAGGCCAGTCCATTACAGACTACAGCGGGGTGCCGCAGCTCAAGGAAGAACATTTATGATCATTTCTTCATCATTTCCTTGAAGTAATAATCATCATATTGATCATTTTACAGACGCGGTAGTTCTTCTGTCTTAGCGTCTCGGTCTGATTGTATTTCCATGAAGAAATGATCATAAATGTTCTTCCTTGAGCTGCGGCACCCCGCCTCAGTAGATGATGGACTGGCCTGAGGTCTCTCTACAAACAAGCAGCTGCTGAATATCCCATTAAGACACCCAAGGAGTCGGTTTATATAAATGATTTTTGTCCATGTTAATAAATAATTTCAGGTTCTTTCAGTTCTTAAAAGGTCAGAAGTTAAAAGAGTTCAGTTTATTTTAATTCGAACACCTTTGAGTTAAAATCAGACAGCAGTTAAAACAGCCTGTAATTGGATATTTAAATAAGACCTAATGGATCCACTGATCGCTCAGAAGTTCAGTTATTCCTCTCAGAAACTTTCCACAGTTATGACTCATTTTAAAAAGCAAACTCTCGTATCACACCCGCCCTAAAAGTCAATTATTTTAGTCCCTTTCACAGGGAGGAACTAAAAGTATTTAATTACTGACTAATGGGCCTCTCAGATCTCGACACTGAATAAACTGATGAATCAAAAATCGCGGAGAGTGATCAGACAGTAAGTCAGTGTTTGGAGCTGTCAGAGATGTCGTCTTTCACCTCATTGACAGAGTTCGTCTTTTCTCTCGTCCGGCGGTGAGTCTTATTTCCATCCCTCTCCCTGAATAAAGCCCATTAGCAGCTGCTCTTTGTCTGCGCTGAGATGAAGCTGAATGTGTCAGACTGGGAGGAACATGAATTAAACATCGCTGAGAGACGCAGAGTTATGAGCGGTGTCCGGTCTAATAAGGCTGAGCATTAACGGCACCGAGTCTGCACACGGAGCGACACTCTCACGTCCGTTTTCATCTCTCTGAGGGACAGGGTGAGAGCCAAACTCAAATACTCCACTTTTATACAATTACCAGGATCAAATGTTGTCAAAAGAGACTTTCTCTCTCTGCTGTAAGATGCAGAAGGTCTACAAAGAAAGAAAACACCAAAAAAAGTGAATTTTAAAGATATATTTGAAAACATGAAACTTTTTTTACACAGAATACACCTTTATAAGTTAAAGGTTAAATAAAATTAAACATTAAAAAAAAAACTGGAAACTAGGGTTCAGATAACATGTGGAGAACTTTCACTGTTATTTAAATCAATAAGTTTTATACTTTATTTTGCAAAATTTAAGGAAAATCTGCTGAATTTTGTTGGATTTGTATCATGACTATTCCTGTTCACTGAGATGCAATAATCCTGTGCTATTTTGTCCCCTCCAGAACACCGTAGTTTAGCTGTTTCTCGCTCCTGAATCACGACCAGATGAGGTCCACCCACAGACGGACACTTCCCCTCACTTTGCCCTGACTGCACAGAAAAACTACAAATAGGCAGCCATGATTGTAGTCCTCTTCAGCTCGGTGTCGGGTTTCAGCAGCAGACTGAATCATGTTTACACACTAATAAGAAAATTTTTAACCGAATAAATCTGTAAATAAATTCTTTATGGATCGGTGAAACTTAATTCGAGCTAAAAACACACGTTTGTAAAGTCGAGGGTTCACTGTGTCAAAAACCAAATCAGAGGCTGTCACACGTTTTATTTCAGAGAATTAATTTTCGTTTTAATTTCCTTTTGTGTTTGTTGTGTTTTACCTCTTTAGGACTTGAGCCGACATCCTTATAAATCAGATATTTTGATTCCCCAGATTATCCTGTAGATACAGTTGTGTATTTCATGGTTGTGCGTCACTCTGGTGAGATTATACCTGACCTCTGAACCTCAGGGTTTCAGAGAAAATGAATCTGTTACTGCTGTGCTGAACTACTTTTTAATATTAATTTATTACATGATGTGAAACAGAGGAATAAATGTGAGTTAAAGCAGCCCTCTACTTCAGGACGTTTTACTGTTTATTATTTGACTTGGATCTGAAAACAGTGACTCCTGCATGTTTCCTCATTTAAAATAAACTCAGTCTTGGTTTCAGACCAGCCTGTGCAGCTTCCATTTGAATAATAAATCTAAAAGTCAAGATCATAAAGTCAGTTTTAATTCATTCATTAGACTCACAAATGAAGACGCTTGAAACGAAGAACTGCTTTGCATTGTTAAAATGTACTTAAAACCTCTTTGGAAATGAGAAACACGTGATTAAAAATGTCATTTATTACTCTCAACGTTCAGATCCCGATCGAGAAAATGACTCATCGGAGGGTTAGAGGAGAGAAAGAGACGCTGAGGAACATTTTGGTTGTTTTTGGTGCCTGAATTTTTATTAACTTGAAGTTGTAAATGAATCAATAAGAAGAAAAGATCAGCCGAGCTGCATATAGAGATAAACACGACACGTTTCAGGAGTTGTGCACACCTTCAACACGTCCACAATTAACCCTTTTTCACTCACAGTTGTCAGATAGTCGGCAGCAGCTGCGGGCGTTTTCTATCTGTCAGGAAACATGAAGGAAGCGAGGTCAGAGCGAGGCGCCGTCAGTACGTCTCCACAGATAAAACAGGAAACGCGGTTCACGGTTCACACAGAAGGAGACGAGCAGGTTGTGGGTTCAGCAGAGGAAGAAGATCAGAAGAAGATCTCCTCACACGGTGGTGTCCAGCTTCTCGATCAGAGCATTTTTAACACAAAGTCAAAGTGACGACTGGAAAACCATCAGAATAAATCATGAAGTTTACTCTCAGAACCACCTGATCACTTCAAATTATCCTTTAACTACCCGCTGGGAAACTTTGAGACACAAACAAAATAAACATTTTAAAGGTGAATTCAGGGATCGAAGTTCGATTTACGCAGCTAAAATACAAATCTATCCCTCTGACTCCACCTCTGTGCAGAAAACTGTCCTTATTCACCTCCTCTGTCGGATCAGAACATTTTTACCACAGTGTGAACAGACAGAGGTAAATATGCTGTTAAAACTCTAAATACAGCAGGAGGAGTAAAGGTGCACTAAGTAACTCTGACGTCAGGATGTTTTTTCTCCGATTAAAGAGAACTAGAATCTGGATCAGTATTTGTTTAAAGCACCAGGATGAGGTGAAATAATGCTGCGTTCGAGTTTCCTCGGAGGTCAGAAGTCTGAGCTGAAAATGACGTCACTCCCGAGTTCCCAGTGTTTCTGTGACCGAGTTGGAAAAAGCAAAATTGGAAGTGGAAACAAGATGGCTGCATCTATGAAAGTTATTTTAGCTCTTGCCTTTTCTGAATATAAGGAAAGCGCTAAGATAACTTTTGTTCATGTAGCCATCTTGTTTCAGGCCTCTGATTTTCCTTTTTCCGACTTGGTAACTGAAACTCGGGAGCGACGTCAGCTCAGACTTCTGACTTCTGAGGTAACTCGAATACAGTATAATCCCGCCATCATCAGCTGATCCCGCCATCATCAGCTGATCCCGCCATCATCAGCTGATCCCGCCATCATCAGCTGATCCCGCCATCATCAGCTGATCCTGATTGGTTTGTTGGAATAAATCTGACCGTGAGACTCTGACAGAAAGAAGGAGGATCAGGTGATATTTCAGCTTCTGTCTGTCTGTTTTATCTGTGAGAGTGACGGACAGGTGGCACCCTCTCTCTCTCTCTCCCCCTCTCTCTCTCTCTCTCTCCCCCTCTCTCTCCCTCTCAGTCGGTTCATGTGGGCCTCAGCAGCAGCAGCATCTGTGTCATCATTAGTATCATAACCCCTGTAAATATGCATCTTCCTCCAGTGTTTCTCTCTGACTGATCACATACATTATGGATGCTCCGCAGGCCTCTTCCCTTCCTCCTCCCCCTCCTCCTCCTCTTCCTCTTTCTCTCTCACCACCTTTTATGACAAATACTGTTTTTTCTCTCTCTCTCTCTCTCTCGTTCAGATTCACAGAGCTTCACTGCCATCATGTGGCTGCAGGTTTTAGAGCCCTGCTCTCAGATGTGGTTCTTGTCCTCTGGTGGTTTTTAGCTCAGATGGATCATTTTCTCATGAATGAACACTGTAAGTGCTCGTTTGTTGTGATATGATGGCGAGTATTTGGAGCGTTTGTGAGGAATCAGTCGTTGGAAATCGATGTGTAAGACATTTTCATGCAACATGTAGATCTGTGTTAAATATACAGTAAGATAAAAATAAGTCTTGCTTCGATTTCTTAGAGAATCGTGAAGTAAAGAGCATTTCACATGGATAAAAAAAATAATAATAAATAATTATAATTATAATAATAACAATAAAAAATAAATAATAATAATAATAATAATAATAATAATAATAATAAATATAATAATAAATATAATAATAATAATTGTTGTTGTTATTATTATTATTATTATTATTATTATTATTATATATTTTTATTGTTATTATTATAATTATAATAATAACAATAAATATATATATATAACAATAATAATAATAATAATAATAATAATAATAATAATAATAATAATAACAATAAATATAATAATAATTATTATTATTATTATTATTATTATTATTATTATTATTATTATTATTATTTATTTTTTATTGTTATTATTGTAATTATAATTATTTATTTATTTATTTTTTATCCATGTGAAATGCTCTTTACTTCACGATTCTCTGCCTTCATAGCTTCTACAAAGTGGTTTTAATCGGCTCCTGTGGTGATGTCACGACAGGAGTGATTGACATGTGCATGCTTCCAAAACCCCGCCCACTCCAACAGCTGTTCTGCTCCTTCCTGTGTGTTTACAGAGTCAAGAAAGCCAGAAACTCCAAGTCTCAGTTTGTGGTTGCTTAAGCTAACACACAAGACTCTAATCTGACCCATCACTGGAGGATTAGAGAAAACAAAGTTTGCTATCAAGATCTGAACAACATGCTAGCTGGTGCTAACAAGAGTCTGAGGACTCGACTGTAATCCAGAAGATTATGATTGTTATTTTATATCTTTGCTGCTTATTTCTGTTTTCTTAGAGTCCATTTAAAAAAACTTAAACTGAGTGAAAGATTTGTCATTGTAATGGTTTTGGATAATCAGCTCACTACTGCCCCCTTGCAGTTTTCAAAGTACAGCCCCCTCCGTAAAAGCTGATTTTTTTTTTTTTTTTTTGGACACAACTCCCTGAGACTGAAAACAGTCTCTCCTGGTTTGGGGGCTTTTTCAGGGGGTCCTCTGACAGTCTTCTTCTCAGACAGCAGTCAGCTAAGCTACTTGCTAACAGGTGTGCAGGTAGAGGGGGCCGAAAGGGGGAAAAAATCCTGTCAGGAAGACAGACTGTTGAGAGCCCTAAAATCTGGCGCTCACCACAAAAAGAAGCAGATTGAATTTTTATTCCTTGTTTTAAAAAACAGTCACACACTTTAACTGACAGCAGTCATCTACAACATTTAACACACTTCTAGAGATGACTGTATATTACAGTACAGCAGGGAGCGAGGAGGCCCGACCAGTGGAGGCCAATGCCGTGTGTTAAAATTCCGTTGAAATCGTGTCGGTTTGTTTGAGTCTTTGAGTAAAGGATACACACTTTTCTTTAGGGTGACAGAGATGAATCTGAGTGGACTCGGACCTGAAAGTTGCCGACTTTTAGATCAACTAGATATCCAATCAACTTAAAGTTAACGTGTTCATGAAGGTGAAGCAGTTTTCAGCTCTTTTTTTGTTTCTCGGTGTCGAGTCCGATCTAAAGACGCTCGAACACCTGTGAGGTTTTTCTCTTATTGAATCCCTCACCTTTAACTCCATCTCCCATCATCCCTCTGTGCGTGAGTGCTGCTGTTAGCAGAGCATTAGAATATGATCCAAGCCCAATTCATTTGTTTTTCTTCCTTTTATATATTTATTTCCTCCCTCCTGCGCGGCTGTAAACATAAATCAGAGCGAGCGAGTGCAGAGCTCATATAAACGTCAGGACAGACAGCCCGGCTCATAAACCTCTAATTTGATCTTTATTCAGCGGGGACACGGCGTGAATAAAAGCTTCCATACTAAATCATCATTTTCTGCTCCCTGTCAACACCGCTCACACACACATCCATCCGCCTGTCTTTTCAGGCCCCGCCCACTGCTGCTCGTTAACCAGCTCAGCCTGTGATTGGCCGTTTCAACCTCTGAACTCGTTAAGAGCTCAGACTCAAAGATTAAAGACATTTTTTCTCATTAGAAAGAATTAAAATCTTATCAGATACATTTTTAACTTATTTATAAAGTGATTTTTAAACAATTAACTTTAAATGATGGAATTACAAACTTTATTCAATTATTATATAAAGTTAAAATTAATGACCTCGTTACTTATTCGTTAGTCATTAATATTTCCCCTCATCTCTTCCTCTTCCTCTCTGTGATTATGACCTTGAAAAGGACCTTGAAAATCAGGTAAAGTCACTCCTACATGGACCAAGACATTGGCTGTTAGCCAATGGGAGTTAGCGCCATTTTGAGGGGTGTCCGGAACCTCAGTGATCAATTCCAGAGCCCCATTTGGCGACTCAAAATTTCCCATAGAGCATTGCAAAATGTAGTGACCATCCGATGGTCACTCACCGGTGGTGGGCATCCCATCATGCATTGCATCTCCAGCAGCAAAATTCAGCCTGAAAATATAAGGCCTTTTAAATAAATTATTAATTTATTGTTTTTTTTTTATCATAATTTTTTTTATTTCATGAACATCCTGGAAAAAAAATCGATCTACACAACATCATGAAATTCAAGAGATGTGAAAACAAAAGACGCAACTTCAGATGCGGCGGTCTGAGCAGTGATGTCACAACAGAGCGCCATGTAGTGTCCGAAATTACTGAGCTCATTACATAGACAGTTATATAGAGAAACCACATATGGGAGTTAGGGTTTAGGGCCTTTGTTGTTGACAGACACTCTGAAAAGGCCCGCCCCTTCTCAGCTCTGATTGGTCATTTTTTATTTTAAATTCAATCAGCATGTCTGTGTTTGACGAGTTTAACTATTTAAAACTCAGAGAAAAACGCCTCTTAAGCACTCTTTTAAATTCCTTTGTAACTGATGAAACACTGTAAAAAAAAAAAATAAAAGCTTTTTTTAGTTCCATTGCAGTAAAAATCACATTTAAACCTCCAAGTTGATGCAATTTTTAGGGCACAGAAAAGTCTCTCCGGACATCCTCCATGAAGAAAAGAAGGAAAGAGTTTAAGACGTAAACAAAGTTCAATCTGGATGCTTTTAAGCTAATAAACAAAGTTCCTCTTGAAGTGAAAAAACTGCAGACATTTGCCAATAAACTGCTTTTCCACCAATGGAGTGGAAACAGAGTCCACTCTTCATCCTCTGTTAGTGCATCCCTCCATCTTTCACCCCTTATCTTTCCTCTTCCTCTCCTCCTCCTTCTCTTTCCTTCCTCTCCTCCAGCTCCTCTCCTCCTTCTCTGCAGGCTGAACAGCTGCTGTGGATCTGACTGGTGGAGCTTTACTGACACCTGCTGACTAACTGTGGAACTGCACTTACAGCAGGTGTTTCCTGCCGAGTACAAACACGCAAAACTAAAATTAAACCTTTTTTAACACAAGAAGAAAATAAAACCATAAAGTGACGGAAAATAAAGAGGATAATCGTGACCTGGTATCTGCTGCATGTCTGACCGTGGTCAAAATTCTGTTCTCTTGATTCTCAGGGTTTTATTTGTAAAAATTATCCCTAATTTAAAGCGATTAAAGACAAAACTGCTCCATATAAACCTACAACAGAGAATCCAAAAAAACAGACAACAAGACGAGAGAAAGAAGAGATGAGAGAAATATGAAACTAATAAAATAATGTTTTTATAGTTTGATCCACAAAGAGAGTTTGAAATCACACGGATACAGATGAGCAAATGTAGACGTGTCATTCCTGACTCTGTGAGGGACAAATCAGTCTGTTAGCTGCAGTTCAGATCTAGAAAAAACTGTCTGTGTTTTTCGTTTAAAAAGTGCTTTACGTTTATTAACCATTCGATGTGATTGAGAGGTGAAAACATGAGTTACAGTCTCTCTGGTTGTTGAGTTTCCTGTTACTGTCAGATGATCTGTTGAAGGTCATCAGGAAGAATTTTATCCACAGTGGACGTCAAATTTGAGACTCTGCCCCGAGAACTCGGTTCAGTTTAAGTGTGTGTTTTATACAGAGAGTTTTTTCATTTCACCATCAGACGCGTCCTTCTCTGTCAGCTGATCAGGTCTTTAAATTCTCAATTATGATATTTTTGCATCTGATTTGTGCTAAATATTAATCAGAGAACATGTTCCTGTTTAAAGGTGTTGTAGTCAGGATCTGAGGAAGTTCCAGTTTTTAGGAGAAATCTTGAATGTAAACTCTACCCCTCCAAACCAGTTTTCCCCTCAGCTCCTCCTCGCCCTCTCAAGCCCCGCCCACAAACAGACGCTCCTGCTCGCTCGTATCGTTCCAATTAAATTCAGATATAATGCAGATAAATACTTCAGATCATTACAAATGGGGCCCAGTCAAGGTTGAAAAAGAGATTGATGATCTCAACAGGACTAGTCTGGTTACATCAAATCAAAAAGACACACAACCTGCCTCCTGTCTTTGTCCTCTACAGAAAACCTGATCCAGCTGCAGGACTCACATCTGGGACATGTAAGACCACATGGATCCATGACCCAGACGGAGCGGTAACATGACATCCAGCAGAAACAGACACAATAAAGACAAACAGACGAGGTGATTTCAGTGACTCAGTTTGAGGATTTTTATGATTTTTTTACCCACAATCAGAGACTTGACCACAATCTGAGCTGAGTCAGAAACATCCAAACAGTCGGACTAATAAATGTGATTATTATTATTAGAGTGATTGAAAAGCTCATAACAACATGTAGATCTGTCCAAAGTCTGATTCTAGATGTCTTTACAAACACACTGATCCAACAGAAGCAGACAGAAATATCCATCGATCACATGAACACAAATATTCAGCAAACAGAGAAAGAAACAGATCATCTGAAGAGTTTTTGGGGACGACTAGAAAGACTTTAGACGCTTGGATTTGGGACAGGAAATAAGGTCGTCCTTTTTCATCTTTCTGTGATTTTGACCTCACTTTTTTCTAAATCAATCAATCAATCAATCAATCAATGTCTAATTTTATATAGCGCTTTTCATACACAACATATAGTACGAAGTGCTTTACACAGAAAAACGAATAAAAGAAACAAAGAAAACCCAAATCTACCAAAACTCAAGATCAAAAAAATACACAAATCAACCTCAGCCCAACCCCTCATTCCCGTCCCACGATCTTAATGCATCAGAAACAGTATTAAAATGCATGAACTTAAAAAGGACTTGGAAACAGAGGAAACATCATTTTAAAACCCAAGATAAGGAAACACTGGAGGTTTATGTTAAAATCTAAAAACAAAGTAATGTTGAATGAAATTTAAGAAATAATAAATGAAATGAAATAAAAACAACAGTAAAAGATACTAAAATAAGAGCACCAAAGTAGCTCAATAAAAGACAATCCTGTGATTAAAACTAGAAGAGATAAATGCTAAAACACTTAACGGAGTTTATGATATAAAAAATTTAGTTAAAAGCAAGAAGAAAAAATAAGTTTTCAGTTTGCTTTTAAAATCATTAGGAAGTCTCTCAGTCTAAAGTCTCAGACCTTCAACATCTGCACCAACTGAAGGTGATTTGAACAAACCATCATCTTGATGTTGTTGATATCAAACTTGATGAAGATTTTTCAACATGAGAAATACAAACAATCAAAGTTCTCCACAATCACTGTCCTTAAAGCTGCGACCAAATCAGCATCTTTAGAAAAGACTGAAAAAGCTGAAATGAAGAACTAAACCCAGAGTTTTTGGTGAGACTGATCCACAAACATTTACAAACCAGAACATTTCAAGAGTTCAAGGATCTCAGTCCATGATTTTGGTCTGATGGACTCAAAATTCTCTTTATTTCACTTCTATAAACTCAGCAGAGTCTCCAAGGCCTAACCACAGTCCAGCATGTAGAGGTTCAGTGAATGTGGTCTGGACTCTGTGGAGGAGAGTCATGGTTTCAGAGACGCTGTAGAAGGACAGAATACCTGCTCTGTGATCCAGGTACACTCCTACTCTGGAGGACAGAGGACCTGAGACATCAGTGAAGACTTTGTTGTGCTTAAATCTATAACTGTCTTTAGAACAGACTAACATCCAAGATTTGTCATTTTCTCCAAAGTAACAATCCTTTGAGTTCCCGTCTCTCCTGATAGTCTTGTATGCGACTGCTACCCAAACCCCGTCCCCTCTCCAGTCCACCTCCCAGTAACAACGTCCAGTCAGACTCTCTCTACTCAGGACCTGAAAATAATAACCAGTGAATCTGTCTGGATGATCAGGATAAGACTGTTCTTCTTCTGTCCTTGTTGCTCTTCTGTTTCCATCAGATAATAACAGTCGTCTGTTTACTGTGTTTGGATCCAGTGTGATTCTTTGTGAATATCTTAAGAAACCAGCTCTGGTCTTGGGTTCTGCTGGTTCTGGTGGTTCTAACAGTAAAACATCCACTTTAGTCACTGCCTGTGAGACGTTTGTCCACGTCTCTGTCAGAAGATCCTGGAGTTTCTCTCTGACCTCTGACACAGCTGCTGTCACCTCCTCAAAGTATCTCAGAGGACGGATGTTGATTCTGGATGAGTCTGCAGGTTGACCCGGTTCTGACAGTGAGGGGTAGCTGTGCAGAAACTGGTTGTGGTCCTCTGTGAGTGAGAGCTTCTGCAGATCAGCGTCTTTCCTCTTCAGCTCAGTGATCTCCTGCTCCAGTTTCTCCTGAAGCTCTTTGACTCGACTCACTTCACGTTCCTGCTGGGATCTGACCTGCTGCTCCACCTCAGAGCGGCGTTTCTCCATCAGACGGATCAGCTGGCTGAAGATCTCCTGGCTGTGCTCCACTGCTTTATCAGCAGAGCCGTTGATAGCCTCCACCTCCTGTTGGAGCAGCTTCACATCTTCTTCTCTGTCCTGGATTCTCTGCTGGATGTTTTCTCGACTCTCCTCCAGATCTTTCTGCCTCTCAGTCCTTTCTGCTGCAGCTGAGACTGTGTCGTGACCTTTGTGTTGGTCCAAACAGCAGAGAGAACAGATGGACTTCTGATCAGTGCGGCAGAAGATCTTCATCACCTCATCATGACGAGAGCAGATGTTCTCCTGGAGCTTCTTGGAGGGCTCCACCAGCTTGTGTTTCTTAAATGTAGGAGATTCAAAATGAGGCTGGAGGTGAATCTGACAGTAAGAAGCCAGACATTGCAGACAGGACTTGACAGCTTTCAGTTTTCTCCCACTGCAGACGTCACAGGCCACATCTTCAGGTCCAGCCTCAGAGGAACCATCAGGAGCAGCTTGGAGTCCGCTCTTCTTCACTTCCTCCACTAAACCTGCTAACATGGTGTTTTTCTTCAGGACAGGCCTCGGTATGAAAGTCTCTCTGCACTGAGGACAGCTGTAGATCTTCTTCTCATCCTCTTTATCCCAGTGGGATTGAATACAGCTCATGCAGAAGCTGTGTCCACAGGTAACAGTCACCGGATCCTTCAGAAGATCCAAACAGATGGAACAAGAGAAAGACCCACGGTCCAGATGAACTCCTTTCTGCGCCATTTCAACACTCGCTGTCGACGACGACTGACTGAGTTTTATTTCCTGAGAAGTGAAACTAGTCTGAGCTCTGATCTCAACGACAGGTGTGAGTCAGCAGGATCAGCTCAGCACACGGAGGTTACACCCAACCAAGACTGTAGGTCTGAGGGGGAGGGAGCAAGGAAGGAAGGGAACAAGGAAGTGAGAGTGCAGAGTGGAGTGAGCTGTGAGAGAGACGAGGGAGGGGGAACCAGTTTTTCTACAATTCAGTAAGAGGAGTGTCTCTGTGAACTTTAGACTCTCAAACTCCAACAAGCAGAAGTTCTTAAAGCTGCAGCCGTCCTGAAGATCAACTGAACCAACATTTATTCACCTCATAGAAACCTCATCGAGCAGAAACACACTTCAACTGTTTTAGAGCCACAGAGTTAAAGAGACAACACAGAGAAACACTCTCTCTCCCTCTCTCTCTCTCTCTCTCTCTCAAACACTTGTCTTACTTTGTTAAAGCGGTTTACCTGTCCAGCAGAAAGGTTACAGGGTCACCAAGATCCCCAAGCGTCCCCCATCGTTTATGTTGACCCGGCTTTTTAGCTCTTGTCCGGTCTACCTCCGTTTTAAGCGCCCGTTATTCCTCCAGAGTCTCCGGTATTTACTTTGTTTTCTTGCTTGTGTCGGCAGTCGTGGCCAAAGGAGGATTCAGACAATTTTCCGAACTTTCTGGTTGGTTTCTACTGTCCGATATTGTAGCACGCTAACTTTGTTTGGGCTCCTGAACGACACGGGGGAGCGGCGTCTGCCTCACAACCAATCAGGTTAGAGGAGGTGGAGAACGGCTTTGTTTACAGTCAGAAAGAGCGGACCGCTCAGAAATGTTCAAATGTTGACGACACAGACATAAGAGAACACAGAGATATCGATATATTACCAAATGTCATCAATAACTAATAACTATTGACTGATATTAGAAGATTTTTGTTTAAAAACCACAAAATAAAAAGATGCTTCTTTAACAGATTCCTGTCTACTTCACCTTTAATCTGATTTCTTTCCATTCATTCAAAACAGGAAACTCTTTTACAAACGTTTCTCCACTTTCTTTGGTTTTAAAGTCTAAAACTTGAAGATGTTTGGTCCCGTTGAGGACTTCCAAGTCTTTTTATGAATAAAACCTTTGAATAGATGGAAAACAGATTAATTAATATATGTAAAATAAAATCTGAGCTGTTTCATTTCCATCGAGTCCTCCGACCGCGACAGGAACAGTGTTTAAATCCTCCTGTCGAGGTTTGTCAAACCGCACTGAAGCATCACCGAGTCGAACCTCTGTTTTCTGAGGTGACACCTCTGCGGGTTCGATCGCTGAAGAATCACGTCTGCATTATTAAAGAGCCAACAACAGGATCAAAGTGTGTTTCTTTATTTCAGCTCAGAAACATCCAGCTGAGGTGAAGTATCATGTGAGGAGGAGCCTCCAAGATCCCAGCCTGAACCGAATATGTAAAAATGTAAATCTGCTCCGTGCTGAAAGTTTCTGCACGCTGATGAAACTGCAGTTATGAAGGGAGGTCGCTGCTCAACAAAGTGGCACAATTTAATTTGTGTGGCAGAACTGCGCGGCTGCGATAGACTCAGTAATGAAACCTCTCAGCTTTAAGTTCTGTCTACTTTATATTCACAAAGGGAAACGAGCGAGGCAGCCATTGTGGAGACATGCAAATACACTGATCTCTTTAATACGGCCTTCACCCAATCGGGCGCTGACTTTGACAAGCAGAACAAATGCCCCGCCAGCACAAACATGTGCAGGTCAGGAGGAGCGGCGCTGATGGCCGAGGCAGAATTCAACTTTCTTTATCCTCTTTTCAACGCCGGCGGTCACATTCTGCCTGTTCGCTAACTGTTAAATTAGTCATCTGAGATTAGAGGCGGCTTAAGGAAGAAAGTTTGCTCTCCAAAGTTGATAAAGCTCTGCAACTTTATGTAAACCCCACATATGCTAAAAACTAAATGTGAGGAGGACTTTGGCTTTGAAGGGAGATCTCTGAACTTTCCTCCACAGAATCCACGTCCAGTCACTTCCTTCAAAGTGGAGTCAAATGTAAATGAAGTGATTTCATCAGGACAGATCAGCTGATGATGTCTGAGACTTTGATTTTCAACGTCTCTGCACTTTCAGAGTCGTCAGTGATGAGAGTCCAGATTTACTTTACTGTGACCTACAATGTCGACTCGGTTAAATGAGGCGAAACCAGAGACTGTATTTACTCCGGACGACTTGGCTCCGCCTCCCGCCTGTAAACGGATTTAAAGCTGAAAAGTTCTCGGTAATTCCGTGATTTTTCTTCATTTCCTGAAACCAGCACTGCGCAGTAGCGTTGTACGCATTCGGCGGGAGAGTCGCAGTGATGGCGCTCGGCTCCGGTGAGCTACACAATCTCTGTCCTCCCATAGGCTGTATCAGGTGTCAATCATAGAAATCATGAACCCCCTAATAACTTTTAAAAATGGAGCTGCACAGAAAAAAGTCTGACAGTAACTACATGTCAACATCACAACCAGGGGGGAGAAACATTTATATTCTGTGTCATTCATTTAGAAAGTTTGTCCACAGCTCCATAAGGAGGCGGGGTTTATGACCTATACTGCAGCCAGTCACCAGAGGGCGCTGTTCTCAGAGTGGAGGAGGCAGACGGCGCTGCCCTCTGCTGGACGGTCAGTAACGCTCTGTTCCTCTGTCTGTGGAGAGTCTCAGTTTCTCTGTAAATCGTCTCTCAGTTTCTTCGCTCTGGTTTCCTTCATCAGTTTGATCCTGAAACAGAAACTGATGTTCTCCTGATGTTCTCCTCAGACAGACTGTTTCTCCTGCTGCTGATCCCTGATTGGACGATACCGCTCTGACTACAAACCAGAGCAGATAAAAAAACACAAACCCTGAGAGTCGGATAATCCTCTTCTGTGTATTTTTTACTTCTTTCAAACTAAGGAAACACTTCGCACATCTAAAAAACAAAACAGGTGTGTTGGAGAAAAACTTTTTGAGCCCCGACTGATGAGTGAAAAAATCTTGGTGACAAAAACTTTTCCAGATTCCACATTTTTTAGAAATGAGGCACAGCCATAATGTTGTCGGTATCTGGATCACGTTTTCTGTTGTCGTCATTCACTGTCATCGTAAGCGTGTGTAGTTTAAAATGAACAAACTGAACTTTGGATGTCAATTCCTTTGTGCGAGCACATGCCTAAGAGTGATGAATGGTAGAACATCTTCTTGTCGTCTTGGTGATGAATGATGGAGAATGGGAGCTGGATACGCATCATCAGTAGAGTAGCCTTGGTTCCTGGGATGTTTCGGCCTCCACACTATACACCCTCCCCAAGGTGGCCAGCTACAGGCTGATCAGACCTGTGCTTGCGTGAGTCCAGACTCGTCACAAGATAGATGGTACCTTCTCTCGTGGGACTATGCAAGGCAGGGGCGTCCTACTCCCTGAGTCAAGCCGAAGCTGACCGCATACCTGAGGGCTTGCTACTTCCGGGCCCAACAGGGGTCATTCCGCCTCATGAAAAGCCACTGGCTGCTTCTTTCAGCTGCCTCCGATGTAGCTTTGATGGCTGAGCGCTGGTTCTGGCCTCTGACTCCCAGGTCAGCGAACAGTCTGGTGGTAGATCTTGCCACAAATCCTCTACATCCCTCCTCCACTGGGCGGACTTCAACGCTCCAGCCACGGTGTAGTGCTTCCGCAGCGAGATCGGCGTAGCGTAGGTGTTTTCACTCATACGCCTCATCCACTGCGTCCTCCCAGGGTACTGTGAGCTCGATGATGTACACCTTCTTTAGGGAAGGGGACCACAGCACCAGGTCAGGTCTCAGGGTGGTTGTAGCAATTTCTGGAGGAAAAACCAGCTGTCGGCCAATATCAGCCATCATCCTCCAGTCACGAGCTAGGCGTAGCTGGCCTCGCTCAGATGGTGTGGAGCAGCTTCTGGCTACCTTAGCCCCCTCACGGACAAAGGTAGTTGCCGGTTGTTGGTTGGATGCTGGTGGTGGTAGGGAGTTGGTGGCAGCTCGTTTGTCCTCTAGAGTGGATGCAAGGACCTTTAGGACCTGGTTGTGACGCCATGTATACCGTCCTTGGGTGAGACTGGTTTTACACCCTGTGAGAATGTGTCTGAGGGTGGCTGGCATGGAACATAGGGCACACCTCGGGTCTTCACCGAACCACTGGTGAAGGTTAACTGGCGATGGAAGGACGTTGTATATAGCTCTGATGGAAAAGCTCAGCTGTCTCGCTTCCATGGCCCACATGTCCTTCCAGTTGAACTTCCTCCTCTCCACGCTGTCCCATTTTGTCCACTGTCCCTGCTTGCCTAGAGACACTGCCTTGGCCCATCGTGCAGCCTCCTCCTGGCGTCGTACCTCCTCCACCACCATCTTCCTCCGTTCTGTCGGTGTAGATGTATATTTAACGATAGATGTGCCCTTTTGTACTAGATATGGAGATTTGTTAATTAAACATGTCTGTTTTTAACTTACAATGTAAATTTATCTCCTAAAAAATACTTGAAAATACTGATTTATTTATTTAAAATCGATTCACTTTGTTGTGGTATTTCTCTTCTGGACACGTGGGTATTACTGCAGACTGATGAAGTGTTTTGTTGTTTATTTTCTGTCTCTTTGGTTAAATTACCCGACGATGATGATGATGATGATGATGATGATGATTTTGTCCCTCTGTGTTTACGCCTGAGAAACGACCACTCCCTCTTTAAGATGGCTTCTGTTTGCCTGATGAAGGTCTAGAACCGAAACGTTGCAGATAAATGATTGATTACGAGTTGGACAGTGCGCAGGAATCCCTTTCCTACTTTTCCTTCAAACTAAAAAATTCATGTGAAATGTTTCCTGTGCTGTTCTTAAACTTCCTCACAAAGATTTTATTCATTTGCAGTAAATTCCCACAGCAGCAGCAGCAGCAGAGACACAAACTCTTGAAGTTTCTCGTTTTCAAACTCCTCAGATTCAGAAATTCAGTTCAGTCCTTTTGAAACCTTTTCAGTCCGTTTTTCTTCATGTGATCAAAGTGACAAAATCATTCAAACTCCCTGATCAGTAAAAAAATGTTGTTTTATTTTGGCCCTGAAACGATTCCCCTGTCTCTGTCCATCATCATAATTCAGTTCACAAACATTGTTCTGCTCTGAATTCAACATTTCTATAAAACAAACAGTAGAAAAATACTTATTGTCACATTTACATTAGAGAATAAAAAGTTTAATTTACAGTATGAACAGTCCTCTGCTCGTCCTCCTTCACGCCGACTCCTCTTCAGTAAACTTTGGACCTTTAAAAACAGGAACAAAAACACAATAAAAAGTGTTTCCACATAAAGAAGCATCATGAAAAGATCGGCGAGTATCAGAGGACTGCTTCACCTGGAGAAGGCGGACACGGAGAGCAGACCGAGCAGGAACTCCAGGGCGTAGAAACAGAGCAGGACGGCGCTGAGGACGAACTCGAGCCGCAGGACGAAGGTCTGCAGCAGCAGGTAGTAAACGGCCAGGGCGGCGCACGGGAGGAGGATGAAGAGCGACGCACACGAGGCCAGAGAGCGCTCACAAAGGTTCCCCTTCCACCCTGAGAGGAAACACAAGGATTCAAGGAGGATTCAAGGAGGATTCAAGGACAGGGGAAAGTCCAAAACAATCCAGACTTCAGGCTCTGAGTCAGAAATATGACGATACTGATGATAACTAAAGTCCAGAGCTGGATCTCATCAGCAGTAAGAGCTAAAAACAATGAAAAGTGTCCGACTCTGAGTTTCCACACTGACTGAACTGATGACATCTTTGTCTTCTGTCGTGTTTCCAGATTATTCTGCTCACCGTAAAAGAGTCGCAGAGTCTCCAGAGCGAGGAAGAGCAGCAGCAGAACCACGTCCAGAACCAGATTATCTGAGGGGTAGGGGAGTAAAATCCCTGAAAAGACAGAAAAGACAAAACTCACAATTTCAGTGAATATTGATCAAGGGTTTAGGGTTAGGCGCAAAAGCTGCAGGTAAAAATCCAGATATCTTTTCACTTAAAGAAGAAGGAGCGGAAACATGTCTGAACGTTAACCTCCGTCTGTGAACGACAGTAAAAGGTGACTCCTGTCCTGGTAGGTTCACGCTGAGCTGACTGAAAACAGCTGATCAGGATGGAGAACAGCAGACTGAGTGAAAGCAGAGACAGGAGGACTCTCTCCTCCACCTGCAGCAGCTGTTTGGATCTGACCTTAAGATATTCTGATGGTTCTGAAGAGATTATCAGATTAGATTAGATTTAATAAGACAAGTTATTAACAACTTATCTTATTAGTTTAATGGTCATTTAAAAAGAAATGATGATTTTAAGTTGATGTTTCTTTTCCAGACTTCTCCTGAGGTTTAAGGTTTCAGTGACTTTAAGTATTTTATCATCATTGGGACATAAATCAAGATTCAGATCATCTTAAACTCAGTCCTTTAAGATAAATGTAATACCAATGTTTGTCCAGCAGGTGTCACTATACCGTTCACTAAATGTCCTGAAACTCAGCGTGGTCAGTTCACAGTGATTTATCATTTATCAGGAGTAAAGAGGTGAAAACGAGTCAAACTGACCTTTATAGATGAACATCAGGATCTCAGCCAGGTAGAAGGCGGCAAAGTACCAGCTGTTCAGGTAGAAGAGGACCTGCAGAGGGGTGGACGACAGCTGCAGGGGGGGGACAGAGTGAAGGACAACAGAGTGGAACATATCAAACACACACTAACACACATATACACACAGAAACACACACACTACTCCAGTGTCATGTGAAGGATACGATAGGTTGGCCTCCTGCAGAGAAAAGAAAGAAAATATTCAGTCACTTTGTTTGTTTGTTTGTTTATTATGATCCCCTTTAGTTCAACAGTCAATACACAGTACAATAAATCACAGACAATAAAATACAAATATATCAATAAAAATTCACAAATGTGAAACGTCCTTTAGTTTTTAAAACCTAAAAAAATAGAATTTCTTTACTAATAACGACCTCCTTCATTTCCTTTTTGAATCTCCACTCACTGTCAGTGTTAATCACATGTGGTGGAAGATGATTATTTCTCTATACAGTACAGTTGTGTTTAGAGCCTCTGTTCTTGGTAGAGTTAGGGTGAAATAAGCGTGAAGGCTTTTAAATTCAAATTTAACTTTATTTTTATGTCAATTTTCAGGAAAGAGAGACCTTTAGGAAACACTGGAGATAAGAAAGACCCTCCCACCCACACACACACCCATGGACCCACACACACAAGCGCACACAGTGTGAGAATTTAAGATATATTCTTAAAGAGACACGACCTGACATTACGTGAGGAAAGAGCGACCTTTAGGAAACACTGGAGATAAGAAAGAGTAAAAACCGGATGGACTAAAACAAGAAAATCATATTAAATGAACAGATGAGTAAAAAGTAAAAACTCTTTAACCATGTGAGAAAGGGGTAAAAGAAGTAAAAACCTGTGACTGGAGTTAAGAAAAAGACTAAGAACAGAGATAATTAATAAGATGACATAAAATAAACATGAAGAACTTTGATTAAAATGAACATCTGCAATAAGAGAAATATAAAAAGGTCATTAGTAAAAAGCCGGTTTAAAAAAGTGAGTCTGGAGCCTCTAGTTAGAAGTCTGAAGCTGAGATACTAAATTAAAAGGTTTTCCTACATGATTCATATTAAACAAAAATCATACCAAACTACAAACACATTTATAGTTTCTTGTTTTGAGGCGCTTGATCAAATAATTGGGCAACAGTCAAGACAAGAAAACACTAAAGACTGAAACATCAGTTTAACTTCTGAGCCTGACAGAAGAAGAGCAGCTCTCCTTATTATTGAAACAGTTTTAATCATTTTAGAAAAACTCTATTAATACGAGTCGACCAAGAAAGTGTTTCATCAGTTATCAGACTCTAACCTGTTCAATACTGTTGATTTAGATGGAGTTTGGGTTTAGATCTGATCATATATCTTCAGCCGATCACACTGACTGATCTGCTGTTTATGAGTCAGAGTTTCTTTATTTTTAAAACAATAAAAACATGATAAATCAGATTAAATCTCTCAAACAGCAGCTGTTCACTCTGATAATCTCACAGTTTTAATGAGGATTTCCTCTGTCGTTGGTCACACAAACACAGACTCTGTTAAATTATTATTTAGTGTTTTATAAGGTAACAGTTCATGACAGAATCAGTAATAAGATGATTTTAACTCTACAGTCTGTCTGTTTAACTGTCACTATAAATCTGTGTCTGTTTCTATGGTTTAACCTGCTGCTTATATCATAATAAAGATTAAATAAAATGTATTTATTCATTAATTAGGAGCTAACATCGGCTAACTTCATCCTAAACTTGAGCGGGTATTTTTTATCATTTTCACTCCAACTGTCGCTGTTAAAAGGCTTAAACTGTTAAATCTTAAACAGTTTACCTGTCTTATGATTATAAAAACTCGATAATATTCACATTTAGTCAGTTAAACCCGTAAATGTTTCTTCAGTCGAGCGAATGTAGGACTTACCCGGCGCCATGTTTGATTGCCATGGAAACCGCTTGGCGGAAAAGCTTCTTCTTCTTCTTCTTTATCATCATCTTCTTCTTGTTTGTTAAACCGAGTTGGATTTGACTTACTGCCCTCTAAGGGCTGTGTGTGGTACTACTGCTGCCGCAACAGCCTGTTGTATCACACAGTGGCGCTACTACTAACAACATAATGGGCTACAAAAAAGGAGTAAATTATGCTGCATGATCAGCTAATCAATCAATCAATCAATGAAACTTTATTTTTAAAATACTTTTCATACATAGAATGGAGCACAAAGTCCATTCATGCAGGATATTAAAAAAACAATGTAATAAAATAAATACAAATACCAAACCCCACCCACCCTCCCAACCCCCATTCAACACATACACACATACACACTCACACACAGAGAAACACACAAAAAAGACCAGGTGAGGACTCTTTAACTTTCACAGATGGCTGAGGAAACACTATCTTCAGTTAAAAAACACTGGATCTAGGACTAAAACGATAAAACCATGATAAAATATAATAAACGTGATAAAGCGTTAAAAGTTAATTAAATAAAACAGTCTTAAAATCAAACAATAACAGAAAGTAAATTTTAAAAAAGAGGTAATAAAACACAAAACAGTTACTCTAGGACTAAAATAGGGTAAAATCACGTGATGCAGATTAAAAGATTAAAACCAAATTCAACAAAAAGCCAGACTAAAAAGGTAAATCTGATGTTAGGAGTTTAATAATTGCTAATTTTATAATTTAAATTCAATACAGTTATGACTTTAAAATAAAATATAAATTAAAAATAATTAATTTAAATAAATTAAGATAAATAAATGAAATAATTATAATATTCTACGACTAAATAAACATTTTAAGGCCTCATAATTATTTACAAATCATTCAATTTGGTTTTAGTTAACATTTTACTCTAACACTAGTTAATAGTCATAATTTTTGTGCCACATTGATCTTATTTAATAATCACCTCCTGGCTTGGATTCTGTCAGTTTTAATTTGCTTTTTCTTTTGCTAGAGTTCTTATACTAAAATATTATATTCTGTAATAAAACATTAAAATGTACAAAACAAAACAAATGAACAAAATCTAGTCTTACCTAAAGCTAACCTACCAGGGGCTTAGGGAGGAGTACAAGCGTAGAATTAGGATAATTTTAATGTTTTTTGCTTTTATATATTTGGAGATATCATCCATTTGACAAAACCTGCTTTTTATAAAGTCTTTGAGTTCCCTAATAAAAACTAAAACCGCTCTGTAACTCCCTACCACCCTCCATGAGACACTGCCCTGTCCCCACTACTTTCAAATTCCTTTTAAAAACTCACTTATTTAAATTTGCTTTTAATATTTAACTGTTTTATTCATTTTATTTCTACTGTTTTTATGTCTTTGTTTTATTACCTTGGGTTTTATGTACTATGTAAAGCGTCTTTGAGTGTTTTTAAAAGCGCTGTACAAATAAAATGAATTATTATTATTTTTATTATTAAAAACAAGTTAATCATATTCATCAGTAGAGAAAATTTGCGGTATAAAAGGTATTGTAAAAAATTGGATAATTAAATTTCAGTCGTGCATGTTTTTAAAGTGTATTTGATCTGTTCTCGTGCATTTACGGCCGTCTGACGTCCTTTAATATAAAAACTACAATCCCCATTCGCCTTACCGGACGCGCGGATTGGTCGGAATCGTATGATGGTTTACGTGGCATTGCAGCCTGTGCGCATGCCCAGTCTTGCTCTCTCCCCCGGCAGGAAGATGGTGTCTGTGAGGATGCGGTCGTCTCTGTTGTCAGTTTTACTTCTGAACGTTTTCTACAGCCTCGTCTCCTCTTTGTATTTCCACATCGGAGAGACGGAGAAGAAATGTTTCATAGAGGAGATCCCGGACGAGACGATGATTATCGGTGAGTGTTTATCCGCCGCGGGTCGGAAGTTACATGCTAATGCTAAGTGCTAGTTCAGAGCTAATCGGCTAAAGTGTCTGAGGAGTTCAGAGAAAGTCCGAATTTACCTGTCCGGACACACCTGAGCTCCAGCTGAGGAGCCAGGTTAAAGCGAGGAGGTGGAGAACACTCTGGAACATTTATAAAAGATGAATGTTTTAACTGAGAAGGAAATAAAACAGACTAAGACTAAAAACAACCTCAAACTGATTTTAAACGCGCGATTCAGTTTTTAGAGGCTCGTGTTCAGACTATTTAGACTGTAAATGACCTTTTATTGTCTAAATCAAGATACCTGAGTCTGCCCTTATTTCACAGCTCACCTGTCAGATCAAATCTCACCTGTGTGACTGACTGAGGGCGACCCCTACAGGAGAGAGCAGGAACAGCCCTGAGTGTTCTCCTCTGGGTCAAACTTTACAAACATCCTCAACTCTATCACGTTATCACTGTACAGAAAAGACAGGACTAAATTAACACGGCCTGAGACAGGTGGAAACATTTCACCTGTAAACTCTAAAAACTCAGAGAAATACCGGGATAACGTCGTCTGATATTATATTTATATCAGAATCAGAAATACTTGAACAATCCCCAGGGAGAAACAGCTTTTTGTAAGTAGAAAGAGGAGATAAATGATAGATAACATAAGTAAAAATATAGAGATAAAATAAAAGTATGTGCACTATACAACACAAAAAACGCGAATTGATTTCCGTAAACATCCATCAGCTATCCCTCCTCCTGCCATTGAGGGCCAAGTTGTTGAATTAGTCCACAATTACAAATACCTTTGGCACAAACACTGATGATAAACTGTCCTTTGACTTCCATGTTGATGCTGTCTGCAAGAAGGAACATCAGCGTTTGTACTTTTTCAGGAAACTGCAGAGTTTTAATGTTTTATTCCCGTTTTATTGAGTCTGTTTTAACTTGATCTTTTATTTGCTAGTACCTGCCTAGATGTCGGACAAACAGACTGAAGAACTCTCTTATCCCTGCCGCCATTGGTCTTTTAAACAAGTGATCGTTTTTAGTCTCTCTGTTTTATGGTTTTTTATTTATTTATTGTTGTGCTGGTTGTCTTGTCTTATGTCTGTTTGTGGCACTGCTGGCTGTAAAGCGATTGTCCCCACAGGGACATTAAAGATTCCTTGACTCCTTGAAAAGAGTAAAATAGTATGCATCAAAGTAAAAAAGTAAAAAGAAAGGAGAAAAGCTTAAAAAAGCTTTTCGTCCGGTCTGTACACACTTGTTGTTGTTCATGCCCATAATTATAAGGATGATGTTGTTATAACTCAACTGGACTTCACTGTATTTATGTAGCACCCATCCAGAGTTCAGGAACATAAAACAGAAAGTTCTCTGATGTTTGTCTGAGAAACATTCGAGGACTTTGGAGAGACCTCGCTGGAGTAGAAATTCAAACAACATATTTTTCATCTTGAGATCTTTCCATGTTTGTTGGTCCATGACTGAGATGGTGCAGAATAAGATCATTGAGATGATCATTGATGAGGGTTCTGATGGAGGACACTGTCGTAGTTTGGTGACCTGCGGAGGTGAAACACCGCAGACCGTCTTCATTTAACACTTGAGTTTGAAACAGTCAGAGTGACGTTCACAGGAAACGACGAGGAGGGTTTTATCTCATGCTCCGTCTGTTCCGGATCGAGTCAAGACAAAAGTCAAGACTGAACAGAAGGAGAGGAAGTGAGCGATACTCTGGGCCTCCTCAGTCTGTCTGCAAATTTTGACCGTGAAGATCCGACTCGGTAAAGAGAAGGAGACGTCCGATAAAACCGACCGGTTAGAAAACATACATCACAACAGAAGCAGAAGTTGTGCAACAGCCAGAAACAGGCTGGTGCTGCAAAACGGCAAAGATGGAGAACACAAGCGAGAGCTGTTAAAGGAGGGGGGGGGGGGCAACAACAGCAGCACAGCAGGGGGCGCAATATCCGTCACTCTGGGTTATCATGTTGTTGTGATCTTAGGAAGGGAGCCATGATTGTTGCTCCACAGACAGAGTCTCCTTTCAGACTCCTGACGGTGACCCCGTGTGTGTGTGTGTGTGTGTGTGTGTGTGTGTGTGTGTGTGTGTGTGTGTGTGTGTGTGTGTGTGTGTGTGTGTGTGTGTGTGTGTGTAGGTAACTATCGGACTCAGCTGTACGACAAACAGAGAGAGGAGTACCTGCCGGCCACTCAGGGTCTGGGGATGTTTGTGGAGGTCAGAGATCCCGACGACAAGGTGAGGAGACTTCCTGTCCTGATGTCTGCGCTCTTTGTGATCCCCGTGTCAGTGTGTAACAGGTGTGTGTGTGTGTGTGTGTGTGTGTGCGTGTGTGTGTGTGTCCTGCAGGTGATCCTGTCGCGGCAGTACGGCTCTGAGGGGAGGTTCACCTTCACCTCTCACACTCCCGGAGAACATCAGATCTGCTTACACTCCAACTCCTCCAAGTTCTCGCTGTTCGCCGGAGGCATGCTGGTGAGGAGACGCTTCGCTCGCCGCCACTTTCACTTTTTATTAACGTTTGAGGCGTCTGATTCAAGTTTGAGGCTGCTTTGAGAAAAAAAAACACAGAGGGACGATTCTCCTGCTGCGATCGCCGACGATAAGACGATCATTTTCAGACGATCATTTTCAGACGCTCTTTTGAAACTCTTTTCTTTTACTGCCTCAAACGTGTCCTTAAATCACCTTCCTGTTGGGCAGAACTGTATTTGATCTCCCTGTTAGAAACCTGAGATGGTCCTCCTCTAAGAACACGAACCTTCACTGTGTTACAGAGAGTTCACCTGGACATCCAGGTCGGAGAACACGCCAATAACTACGCCGAGATCGCCGCCAAAGACAAACTGACGGAGCTGCAGCTGAGAGTGAGGCAGCTGGTGGAGCAGGTGGACCAGATCCAGAAGGAGCAGAACTACCAGAGGGTAGGTCTCAGTTTATTTTCCCCTGAAATATCGTCATATAGTTATAATTATAATCTATTTTATATCTTCGTATCATCGTTAGAATTGTGTTTCTGTTTTCACGTTTGTAGAAATCTCGTCTTAAATCACATCATGGATTTTTTCATATTTCAAATTACTTTTATGATAATATTTATAATTATTGTTATTTTTGACTCAAAAAGCCTCAAAAAGAAACTCATCTGAAGTTTTCTGCTCGCTCCGTCATCTCAGAGTTTCTCTTTCGTCGAGTTTCTCAGTCATCTTGAAAACCTCGTGTCGGATGAATCCTGTCAAAACCGTCTGTAATGTGGAGTGTCCACGATAACTGAGCGCCCCCTGCTGTCCGTCTGTGTCTCCTTTCAGTACCGTGAGGAGCGTTTCCGTCAGACCAGCGAGAGCACCAACCAGCGGGTCCTCTGGTGGTCCATCGTTCAGACTCTGATCCTGGTGGCCATCGGAATCTGGCAGATGAGACACCTCAAGAGCTTCTTTGAGGCCAAGAAACTGGTGTAAACCTGTGTGTGTGTGTGTGTGTGTGTGTGTGTATGAGAGAGAGTGTGTGTGTGTTGGTGTGTGAGTGTGTTTTGTCTACTGAGTGATGCAGTACTGAGCGGCGGCGGCGGCGGCTGTGGAAGGAGACGTGACGCAGAGATCCATCTGCAGAAAAAACGACTTTAGGTTCTGATTTCTGATTCGCTCTCTTCATCATCTTCATCATCTTCATCATCCTCCCTCTCTGACTCTGCCGACCATCAGGGGAAAATGTGACGACTTTATTTCTTTCACACTTCGGTCGATTTTCTGCTCCAAACTTCGGTCGGTCACGATGAAATCAAAGAAGTTTTTCTGATGTTTGTTTTTCTGTTTCATGACGTGTTACTGCCCGCCCGAGATGTTCAGAGTCGAGGATGAAGAGACGGTTTGAGTTTGTTGGATTTATGAGGAGGTTTTAAAAAAGCTCTAATCTATAAAATATGATCTGATTTCAGAGAAGAACAGCTGTCGTGTCGCTCTCTTTTTAAAGAAACACAAACTTTATTTTCAGAAAACACACCATCGGTCTCATCGTGTTCGTTCACTTTTCTCTCTCTGATAGGGTTTTATTTCACGTCGGCAGCGTTTTCTGTTTTCTGTAAAAAAAATCTAAATTTTAAAACAAAGTGGAGTCGAGAGCTCCGGCAAAGACAGTGAAACAAAACGAGAAAAATGAAAAGTAAAGACGAGCTGAGACGTTTGTCTCTCTAAAGTGCAGTTACTGATCCTCCCCAGACTCCGATACGTCCGTTCATCCTGTCATGTCGAGGTCAATAAAACAGATCTATGAAAACAGATGTAAACCTCCACAGTTTGCACATCTGTACCCACAGATCTATGATCTCTGCACACTGATATCAAACTGTGATCATGCATTTTCAAGCTGCACACAAACTTACACGTTTTGACCGCGGGGGTTCAGACGTACTGAAGATCAGCATCTCCTGCGTAGTCTGGTGTGTTTGTCGAGAGCGATGCAGCAGCTGTTTTCCTGTTTGATAAAAGTGTAAAGAAAAGCTCGGTGTGTCCGCAGGAGTCCTCTCTGTAAAGTTCTCAGACAATCAGGAACAAAACAAGAACTTGAGTTTTGCAGACATGGAGGAAAGGAATCCAAAGGAGGAAGTTGAACCAGTTTTTCGACCTGTAGAAGGTTCAGACCGGTGACGTTTAAAAGGGTTCAGACACGGAGATCCATCGGTGTCACGATGAGTCTTCATGTCCGAACTCTTGAAGCACAAAAGTTTGAGTTTGACCTTCAGCTGTCGCAGTTTTCCAGTGAGTCCAGAGCGAATGTTTCTCTTCACCTCATTCAGGTGTGACGTCGAAATGATCTCGTTCCGCCATCGTCTCCAGATCTGAACCCACCTCCTGACTCCTTATTAGACTTTGGTTTCTGAAATCTGCTCCTGAACTTGTTTGTTTTTTTGGGGTTTTAGGTTTGTTATCCGGTGAGAGATTTATGAGCAGATTTAGTTTGTTGCAGCTCTGCCAAAGACGCTGTCTGACCTAACGAAGAGTTTAGGCTGTTTCTGCTGATTTACAGAAACTGAACAGAGGAGAAACATGAAATCTGAATTGGTCAAAAATGAAACTCTGGATTAAAAACAGCTCATAAGAAAAAAAAATTTCGCTTCTTAAAATCTCGGTCTTGTCTGAAAGTCGTCCTCAGGCTCTGATCGAGGACTCTGACTGCAAAAATCTGAATATTCAGCTCTGATATAATATTTTATTTTTAGTGACACACGAGTTTTTTGGAAGGTTTTGAAAATCAGGGCAGTTTTATCTTTTCCAAGTTTTCTCACTTTAAGCTAATCTTCATTTTTTTTCTTTTTCTGGTGGTTTGTGTTAAAATATTAAAACTTCAGATTGTTGTTGTTTTTTTTTTTTCAGGGTTAGAGGGGAAATAAGTCGCGGCTGGATGAGGGGATCGAGTTTATTTTATTTTGGAGAGATTCTGTCCGTGTGAAATTTGTCTCAAATTGCACTCGAAATAAAGTTTGTCACATTTGGTTTAAAGGATTATGAAGTTTGTTTTTATTCCATTATTATTATTTTATTATTGTTTTAAAAAAGTCACTGATGAGTTTAACTTTTTATGTATTCAGAGGGAAATAAATGAAAAAGACTCTCGATCATAAAACAAAGAAATAAAAGACAGAGGTGTACCTGAACCGTCTTTAGTCGTTATTTTTAAATATTTTTGATGAAGCAGAAGGAGGTTTTTACACAGAATGAGGTCATATGTGGAGAGGAAGAAGAAGAAGGGCTGTTACTATCGACTGTTTTCACTAATGATTAATGTACGTCTTTATTCTATTTACGCTTTATTTTTTTGTTAATATAGTTTAATTTTGTTTGAGACTGACTGATATTATTGAGTAAAGGAGAAGAGGAGGTGAAATTAGACTGATGAGAAGAAGTTCAACATGAAGGAAACTGAAGATGGTGGTTTTGTCTTGGTGAGTACGGGTGAAGGTCGGATGAAAAGGTTAAAAAGTTTCAGGAAGTTTTTTGTTTCTTATTGATGAACTGATGAACAAACAAACGAGAGTAAAAGACACTGAGTTTGTTGATCGTTAAGATGGAGTATTTAGAAAAGAGGAGCAGAAGGTTCATGTTCATTCTGAAGAATCTCTTATGGATTAATAATCATTTCTTCAGGTCAATTTGAAACGTCACAGACCAACAATATTACAAGAGTTCATATAAGGAAATAAGAAGCTATAATAGAAAGACAAGTGATCAGAAGGATTGATAAGGGGACAGACCTTATTGATTATACCGAGGCTCTTCATTGATCTTTAACAAACTTGACTGATATGATTGTTCCACTTTAGACCCTCAGCAAGGACAACACACACAAAACAGTGGGGTGGGGTTTATTAATATTTTGACCTTTTCTTTTAGATAAGATTTTATCATTATTATTAGAATTTTTCCTTTTTTTTGCTTTAATTATTGTTGTTGTTGTTTTAAATATTCTCACTGGTTTGGTTTGTTTGTTTTCAGTGATATTAAGTATTTTATTTTGTTTGTTTTTTTTGTTTGTTTTTTTAAATATTTGAAAAAATATATATATGTGGGGTGCAAGATATTTACGCATGCGCAAACACACGCGCTTGTCCCCCTTAAGTCCATTACGCCGCGCATTTAAGTTAATTTCTCACGCAAACATTTTTATCTTTTAGGTATTATGAGTTTATCTTGTTTAGATGATATTAAACATGATAAAATTCCCCTTTTTAAAAAGAATGAAACTTTAAAGTTCGGACCCGTTCCTGTGACGTAAAAACATCAGAGGTAGGAACCTTTAGTTCCCGTTTCTAGCCGGACCCTATACTCAGTCGGACAATATCACAATCGGCTTCTGTTTGATTTTTTTTCTCTCAGATCGTCGATTAAAAACAAAATTTAACTCTTTATTTTATTAAAAACTTTTTCAGTGGTTCGATAAAACCAGCGGAGACCCGGTACCGGACGGTGTCGGTTCTGGATGTGCCTGTAAGGGTTCGGAGATGTCGGACCCGGATCCTGATCTACGTGGACAGTAAGAGAGTCTGGGGTCTTCAGCTGGTCTCACTGAGTCTGGGGCTGTTTTCAGGAGAAACCGGACCGGAACCGGACAGTTCGGGGTTTTAAAGATGATGTACTCATCGAGGAGGAAACCGGTTCTGTACTTTAAAGAGGAGAGGAGGTAAGAACCCGGTACCGGTTCTGGTTCTGGTTCAACCAGGTCAGGGTTCTCCAGGTCTTTGGGGAGAGGGGCGCAGGTCCAGTTTAACGAAGAACCAGAACCAGAATTTAGCTGCTGATTCATGTGAAAACCTGTGGTGTCCAAACGGTGGTCCGGGGACCGTAAAGAGTTCTCTGTAAAAATGATCGGCTGAATATCGGTGTCAGTTAAAGGGATATTCCGTAAAATTAGGGGTCAAACTCACCGTAACACCGAGTTAGACCCCCCCTCCAGAGATGAATGTTGTCGACCGCTTCCTTCTCTAGTTATACCAACTTTAGTAACGACCGCAGGATAGAAATACAGAGAGGTCTGAGGAGCCATAAACAAACCTCAACCAAAACGCCACTCTATAGAGAGACCTCAGGACAGTCCATTATGGACTACAGCGGGGTGCCGCAGCTCAAGGAAGAACATTTATGATCATTTCTTCATGGAAATACAATCAGACCGAGACGCTAAGACAGAAGAACTACAGCGTCTGTAAAATGATCAATAAGGTGATTATTACTTCAAGGAAATGATAAAGAAATGATCATAAATGTTCTTCCTTGACTCTGTAGTTGGAATCACCGTATGATGGTCTTAACATCACCTGTCTGTGAACTGTCCTGAGGTCTGATGGATCTAAATCTAACACTCTTTTGGAAAGAACTGGAAATCATAGATGCTGCATCCTCAGTTCCAAAATTAATATTCAAGAAGAGCTTTATATATTTATTGATCCTGAAGAGGAAGTTTGATGATTCATGACCGACTGAAAGATTTTAGGGTTCAGAAAAACATTTAAAACACAAATAAATTTGCTGAGACCAGAAAAATGTTACAGAAGTTTGAGTTTTGTGTGTTTGTCTGTTCCTCTTTCTGATCGTGTGTGTGTGTCTGTGTGTTTGTGTGTGTGTGTGTGTGTGTGTGTGTGTGTGTGTGTGTCTGTGTCCTGATGATGAAACTTTGTTGTTGTGACTCATCTTCTCAAACTTATTTCTCAAATCTATATAAAAAAAACTTCTTTTAAACAAGTTTAAACCATCTATGTCAGTAAAATAAAACTTAAAATGATGATTTTTTATAATTAAATTTTTTTCAAATAAAAATGAACAAATTTTTTTAGTGTGACTACTTTTAAACTTCACTTTGAAACAGATCAGCTGATGGATTTAAGGAACCGTCTTTGACTTCCTGTGATTCTTTCGTCGCTCTCTCGGTCAGATCGGATTAATTTTGGCGTTTTTTTTTCACTTCCTGTTTTGTCGTGTCTCCTCAGGTTCCTGTCGGCTCGATGTACGGTCTACAAACTCTTCGGTCTCTGCATGGTGCTGCTGCTCGTCTCTCTGCTCTGGCTGCAGCTCAGCTGTTCAGGTGACATGTCCACCGCCGCCGCCGCGCACGGGGAAAGACGCCCCTCCCAGCAGCAGCTGCAGGCTCCGCCCTGCCCGGCTGACAGTCAGGCGTCTGCGACGGACGACCCCTCCTGGGGTCCTCACAAACTGGCGCTCATCATTCCCTTCAGGGAGCGCTTCGAGGAGCTGCTGGTGTTCGTTCCCTTCATGCACACGTTCCTCAACAAGAAGAAGATCCGACACAAGATCCTGATCGTCAACCAGGTGGATCACTTCAGGTGAGGGAACACCTCTGACCTCTGACCTCCTGAAACCCGGGGCCTCATTTATTAACGCTGCGTACACACACAAGAAAGCACACGCCACTTGTAAGCGATGTTTGGGATTGTTCTGACCCTGAGAAACGAGAAACTTCGACCCCGACAGTAAAAGAAGGAAATTAACCTGTCGTGATCTTTCCTACGCACAGTTTTCTAAATGAGGGCTCAGGTCTCTAATGTGGACTTCATGATCCCTCTCAGAGTTTCCCTTCAGTACTTTTGGGTCCACGCCGCCTGTCCTCTCTGTTCCAGGTTTAACCGGGCCTCGCTGATCAACGTGGGTTACCTGGAGAGCGGGAACGACACCGACTACCTGGCCATGCATGACGTGGACCTGCTGCCTCTCAATGAAGCTCTGGACTACGGTTTCCCGGAGGAGGGTCCGTTTCACGTGGCCTCGCCTGAGCTGCACCCGCTGTACCACTACAAGACCTACGTGGGCGGGATCCTGCTGCTCACCAAGAAACACTACGGCATGGTACTGAGGGTCAAAGGTCAAACTCGGGGTTATTCAGCCCGTGAGGACAGACTGAGGGGGAACAGTCTCCCTCTGTCCGTGTCAGTCATGTAATGATTCAGAGCGTCCACTAGATGGAGCTGTTCGATGAAAGAGTCATATCTCGGTGTGTTTGTGTTTTCAGTGTAACGGGATGTCCAACAGGTTCTGGGGGTGGGGCCGAGAGGACGACGAGTTCTACAGACGGCTGAGGAAAGCCGAGTTACAGGTAAACCCTGAACACCTGTCCTGATGAAAACCAGGGGGCGCTGTGACCCCGTTTGTTGAACCAGCGTCTGTCTGTCTGTCTGTCTGTCTCTGCAGCTCTTCAGACCGAGTGGAATCACAACAGGGTATAAAACGTTTCTCCACATCCACGACCCGGCCTGGAGGAAGAGGGACCAGAAGAGAGTGGCGGCTCAGAAACAGGTACAGGACTTATCTCCTCAGAGCGACGACGACTGATTTCAGACTCTGTTATTCAAAGATATCAAACCGGACATTTTCACTTCCTTTTAAAATCGCCTGTTTTTGGTTTTAAATCAGCAGAAAAATGAAAAGACAGCTCGTCTTAGACGCTGAAAACATCTTTAATAAATTCTGATTTTATTCTGTTTTTCGCCGATCCAGGAGATGAACTCTTAGAAGTTCCCTGAAGTTAAACATCGTCTTTAAACGGCGAAACGTGTTTATGTTGAGTTGAATGAAGCCTGATCTAACATGGATGATATTGAAGAGTCTGACTTTGATATCGTTTCTGTTTTTCATTAAAAATAATGACTGTCAGTCCGGGTTCATTGACTGAGTACAGCTCACATAGACATAGATGCTGGACACACGTCACAGGTATGAAGGTCTTCCTTTAAAAACTCTTTGTCTGGATGGACGCAGATGTTGCTCCTAAACCTGGAGATCTTGTTTAAAACTGAGGATGCAGCATCTATGATTTCCAGTTCTAGATTGAAAGGACAACTGGACTCAGGCAAATGCCGCAAGTAAGTCCAGTTGTCCTTTTAAGAACGTAAGATTTTGATCCATCAGACCTCAAGACAGTTCAAGGAGAAGTGATGTTAAAGGGATATTCTGGTGTAAAATTAATTTAGTGTCAAACCCACCATAACACCGAGTTAGACCCCCCTCCAGAGATGAATGTTGTCCATTACGGACTACAGCGGGGTGCCGCAGCTCAAGGAAGAACATTTATGGTCATTTCTTCATGGAAATACAATCAGACCGAGACGCTAAGACAGAAGAACTACTGCGTCTGTAAATGATTAATATGGTGATTATTACTTCAAGGAAATGATAAAGAAATGATCATAAATGTTCTTCCTTGAGCTGCGGCACCCCGCTGTAGTCCCTACAAACTCCAGTATTCAGGTGATAGATTTTTAAAAAGTTCATGATTAAAATAAAGTGATTTATTCTCTAAAAGGATCTATAAATAATCCGAAAGTTCTGAAAACCTGTAAAAGAAAAAGACACCCGGTCTTCATTCTCACCCCTCGCCCCCGCCCCCCTGGTTTCTCTCTCCTGTAGGAGCAGTTTAAGGTGGACCCTGAGGGGGGGCTGACTAACCTTCGTTACCAGGTGGAGTCCCGACAGGAGCTGACCATCAGCGGGGCGCCGTGCACCGTCATCAACACCAAACTGGAGTGTGACCAGAACCAGACGCCCTGGTGTCTGCTGGTGTAGAGGAGCCAAACGTGTCGGTACACCGCGGCGGATGTTTTAAACTCGACTGAAAAGATGATCCTGCTCTCAGATTTTGCCAAAAGTTGCTGCCGCTCTGACAGATCTGTAGAAAAACGGTACAAACAGACTTCTTGAACTCTGACTCGGTTCTGTGCCGAACTTGAACAGAAATAACGATGCGCTGAAATCTCCCCAAGGGTCAAACTTCCTGTCTTTGTTACGATGAACTCAAACCTGCTGTTTTTTAAAGAGGAGCGGGAGACCTGACCCAAGATCAGAACCTCCTCATGAGTCTGTCGGTGCAATACCAGAACTAAGTTATCAGGAGATGGACGGTTACAGTAAACTGGAGACCCGCACGGCCAAACCGGACTGTTCGAGCTGACCTCAGTCCTGGTTCTGGTTCCTGCTGGCGTGACGTGAATGCAGACTTTTATTTTTTTTAATCTGGGATCGTGCAAACGGAGCAGAGAGCTGGACGGCTAAAACAAGACGACCTCAGAAACCAAACGAGCGTCACTGAGCGGTTCGTTTCGCTGAAGTCTGCCTCATATCACCAAAAGTGTCAGAGGAAGTTTATCGTGTCTGTCTGAGCTGGGATGTAACGGTAAAAAACAACAAAAGCGTTTCTTCAAATCAGAAAAATTAGAAATAAACGTCAGTACCCTTTTTTAAACAGCAGGGGGCGTCATGTGAGAGAATCTGCACACGTGTGTCGATTCTGATGAAAACTACCAGAGTAATATTTCACAGAAAGACTAACCGTACGACTTCTTTCTCAGACAATTTCATCCTCAAAATTTATTATTATTTGGACTTGATCCTCGTAAATTTCCGACTTTATTCTTGGAAATGTTCCATTTTAATGTCCGAAATTTACAGCTCTGTTCTCGATGGCTTTAACGGCAAATTTACCACAGCACTCCTGTCAGTATTTCACTTTGTTCTCCTGAATTTAAATCTTGGTCATAAAATCACAAGTAAAAGTACAACCCTATTATCGTAAACTCGTAACTCTCCACTAATATTCCCACTTCATGGATTTTATTCCAGCTCTGTTCACCTAAATTTATGACCTAAATCTCAAAAAGTGGAAACTGAATTTTCTTATTTTGCACCTCAGATGTCTTCATTCCCTAAAATTTTGTCTTTTATAACTTCTATAACTTCTTTTCCTAAATGTTCAACCTCACTGCTGAATCGTTATAAAATCATAACTTCTATTATTGTACTTTTTATATCTCTAAATTTATGATTCCTTTTTCATGAATTTACAACCTGAATCTCATTTAGTTAAAACTTTATTTCATAAATTTCGGACTGTTTTCTCATAACTTAATTTACCGCTTTACTCTGGCAAGGTCTTATTTTCCTGAATTTATAAATCAGTTTTCAATAATTTAAAACTTTTATTTTGTAAAAGCAAAACTTTATTCTCAGAAATTTGAAACTTTTTCTGTCGCCAACTTAATCCCTGTAAATTTACAACTTTACTCACCCAAATTTTTACTTTATTCTCTCAAACGTACAACTCCGTTCTTGTAAATTTTACCCAAAATCTCAAAAAGTTAAAACTCGTGATTTTCGTGGCTTCATTCCCTTAAAACTCATCGTCATTTTTTGTGAATTTTCTACATTTTAAACTTCTTGAAATTTTACAACATTGTTTGTAAATCTCCAATTTTAATCTTACAAATCGAGACTTGAACCCTTTGACTGAGCGCCGACAGTAAACCCGTAAAAACTTCGTATTCTGGCTTGAATGTTCGTTACATCCCGACTCTGACATTAACAGGAAATTGTCGTATCTGCCTGAGCGTTTGTTTTATGTTGTAACGTTTTTTCGACAGACGCACTTTGAATTCACCAAAGAACACGAACTTTCTCTCATCTCATAGTTACGATGTTTGTTTCTCATGACTGCAGTTTATTCGGGATGTGAGGCGGTGAAGACACTCGAGTATCAGGATGTTTAGGATTCAGTGAAGTCTCGTTAGTTTTGTTTGTTTTATTTACAGTTTTATAAACTCACAGTTTTGAGTCCTTTAGTTACAGAGGGAAGTGTTTGTAAAGAGTCACATTTTGAAAACTTGGATTTATTAACTCTGAGGAAAAGGGTCTGCGGTGATTTCAAAGTGTTTCTGTACCGTTTAAAGTGAACTGAGCCAAACTGAGCCGGACCAGACCGAACTGAACTTTATCATTTACCTGTAACTTTTAACGTATTAACAGAAAATAAACTTAAACTCAGAATCATTTAATGTTTAATTTTCCCCTAAGATATTAAATGATCTTCGACCAATCAGAATCAAGTATTAGTTTGATATTCAGAGGTTGTAATATGTGGTTTAATTTCCCTCGTTACCTTGACAACAGACAGTTTCATCTGCATGAACACCTGAAACGGCGTCCCTCAGGGTTCGACACTTGGTCCCCTTCTCTTTATCTCATTTTTAGGAGTTTGTTCTTGTCTCTGTTTTTCATCCATAATATTAACACTGAGAACTGAAAGAGGTCAAACTCCTGCGAATGAAAATCTCATAATACAACCGAAAGACCCAAAACAAAAGACTTTACTGTGAGCTTTTAATGACTATTTTAGTATTTTTTTAAGGTAAAAACAGCAACACTGGGTCTTATAAATATTCCCTGAAAATAGGTATCATGTTTCGACCAAATAACATTTAAAAAATCACTTTTTATTCTTTCAAAGTCAGTAGAAATCTGTGGTAAAGGAACTTTGTGTCATTTCAAATTAACTTCTTTAATTGTGTGTTTTCTCGTGTTTCCTTAAAGCACCTTTAAAATGACTTCATGAAACCAGACTATAATAATTCAAATAAAACCTCATTAAATTTCTTAAATTCACTCCAAAGTTTTTTTCACATTAACATTTTACCTGCTGACCATGTCTGTCTATAAATAATGACTGATGTCCTAAAGGTTTATGAATTATGTCAGACCAGGTGGTTCAGTATTTATTTCAATTCAAGACTTTAAAGTGTTTTCTTGTTTATTTGAATTGTTGGAAAACTCTTTATTTTGTTTTATAAACTTACTGTTTTTGTATCATTCATTTTAAGAGATACTGGTGTTTTTACGGCGGCCCAGAAGGTCAACTGCACAAACATTTTGTATCCGCAAAAACATTTCGTCAGTCACCAAAAACTTTTCATGAAACACAAAAACAAAATTTTTTCATTAGTACAGCGACTGTTTCAAGAGATAATAAAAAGATATTAGATGGACTGCTAAAACATTTTAAAGAAGTTTAAAGATTTTTCACAATGCAAAAATATTTTACAAAAACTGTTTAACAAAAAGTAAAAACTTTTCTTTGTGTATTCTATAAAACTTTAACACATTTTGGGAAATTTTTAACAGTTCCATAGCTTTCAATATAATAAAATATTTTTGCAATTTTTTTTAAATATTTTTTAGGATTTTTTGTTGCAGATTTTTTTGTTTGTTTAGTAAAACATTCCTAATGTTTGTAAAATTTTATGTCACATGATTTTTTTTTTTTTTTTATGTGTCGTAAAATGTTTTTCCAATTGACCTCCAGGGCCACCGTACTCTACAGACTCCCGTTCATGCCGACCTACTGTTGGGATGTTTTCCTAATCTGCGTTTCTTTTTTCTGTTATCAGGCCTTAAAGCTGCTTCAGTCGCTTCTTGTTTTTAAACGAGCAAATTTAAAAGTGTTTTTAACGTGTGTCTGAAAGTAAGTCTGCTCACTTCATCGAACCCTGATCAAGCCTGAGAAGATAAAGTCTTCACAAAAGGAAACTATAAAACCCCAAATGTCCTGAGAACGAGCGCCTGCAGACAGCACTCAGGGCAAAGATTCACCGTGTTCAGAGACGTGCAGAAGAGTTTCATGAACCACAGAAAGTGTTTAAAGAGGGAGGGATCTTTATATGCAACACACCTCAGCTTTAAGAGTCGACATGGTCGCCCTGACAACAAAGTGGAACTGTTTTTACTTTGCCGTATTTAAAAAAGCAGAACATGTAACCTTTAAGAGACAAAGAGAAAGGCTACTGAAAACAGATCCGTCTGTCAAAATGAGTTTTCTGCTGCCGTCTCAGTTTTTGGTTTCTGATTTAGACAGCTGCTGTAACTCTCCTCTTCTACTCTGCTGCTGCTGTGATGTGCTTGTCGGCCTCCAGGGGGCAGCGTCTAGTCTGTTGCTCCATGTGTGATGGTTTTAGAAGAGGGACTGTGCATCCACGGGCCAGAATCAGAAATGGTACTTTGTATTTGTACAATATTCAATATTTATATAAACCTGAGACCATAAAACACATTTGGATGTTTTGTTGTTTTTTTTTACTTCACTAATCAGTTATACTTGTGTGTGTGTGTGTGTGTGTGTGTGTGTGTGTGTGTGTGTGTGTGGACATGTTTTGTCGGTCGTGTAATAACCATTTTCACTCAGGGTCAAATATTACTCTAATTTTCTCCTGAAGTTCGTACTTTAAAAAATACAGAAATATTTGAACTACTTTTTGAAAAAAACTTCAAATATGATATTTTTAGGATTCATAACTGCAGTCAAGAAAACGCAGGAACAGAATCTGCTACATTATTTTAGTTAAGAAACTAATATTCACATTTTTAAAGCTCCATGCTGTTTTTTTATGTTGTTGTACAAAACCCAACTCCAGTGAAGTTGGAAACTTTAAACTTTGTCTTTGTAAATATTAATGAATTCAGAGTTTCATGGCAGTAACTCGCTCCAAAGTAGTTGGACAGGTTCATGTTTACCTCTGTGTTCCATCAGCTTTTAACAAACTCAGTAAACGTTTGTGAACTGAGGAGACGAACTGTTGGAGCTGAAGGTGGAATTCTTTCCCGTTCTTGATGTTCAGCTTCAGTTCTTCAACAGTCCGGGGTCTCCGTTGTCGTGTTTTACTCTTCATAATCCTCCACACATTTTCAGTGGAGACAGGTCTGGACTGCAGGCAGGTCAGTCGAGGACCCGCACTCTTTTACTACGAAGCCACGCTGTTGGAATGTGGCGTGGCGTTGTCTCGCTGAAATAAGCAGGAAGGGCGTCCGTGACAAAGGCGTTGCTTGGATGGCGGCATATGTTGCTCCTAAACCTGTTTGTACCTTCAGCATGAATGTTGCCTTCACAGATGTGTAAGTTACCCATGCCTCGGGCACTAATGCACCCCCATACCATCACAGACGCTGGCGTTTGAACTCTGCATCGATAACAGTCCGGATGGTTCTTTGACTCGTCAGACCACAGAACACTTTTCCACTTTACATCAGTCCATCTTAGACGAGCTCGGGTCCAGAGAAGCCGGCGGCGGCGGCGTTTCTGGATGTTGTTGATAAATGTCTTTAGAGTTTTAACTTACAGCTGTAGAGACGAACTGTATTTACTGACAGTGGTTTTCGGACGTGTTCCTGAGCCCATCTGCTGATATCCTTTACACACTGATGTCGGTTTTTGATACAGCGCCGCCTGAGGGGTCGAAGGTCATGGCGTTTAATGTTGGTTTCCAGCCGTGCCGCTTACATGATTTCTCCAGATTCTCTGAACCTGCTGATGATATTTTGGACCTTAGATGTTGAAATCCATAAATTCTTTACAATTGTACTTTAGAAAGTTTGTTCTTAAACTGTTCCACTATTTGCTCACGCAGTTGTCAATGACAGAGTTTTTGGCGAAGCTGCTTTTATATCCAATCATGACACCCACCTGTTCCCTATATGCCTGCTCACCTGTGGGACGGTCCAAACAGTATTTTTTTCCACCTTTCCAAACGTCTTTGTCACGTGTTGCTGCCATCAGATTCTGAGTTAATGATTATTTGCAAAAATAAATAAAGTTTATGAGTTTAAACATTAAATATCTTGTCTTTATAGTGGATTTAATTGAATATAGATTAAAAAGAAATTGGAAATCATTGTATTCAGTTTTTATTTACGTTTATCTCAGTTTCCAACTTCAGTTGAACTGGGTTTTGTAGATACTCTGAAAACAAAGGACGAGTTTATAATAAAACATTCAAACTCAATAATAACCCCGACCTCCCGCAGGTGCGATCATACCTTTAAATATCGTTTCTGACTGTTCGTATCTGAACAGCGCCGCTCCGCCGCCTCCTCCTCAGTCTTCCTGTCACTTCCTCTTCTCTCCTCATTTTCCTCTCTCGTCTGCCGCTGGTGTGACTTTTAGCGTGACGACAGGAGTCTTCAGCAGGAGGAATGTCAGGTAAATGCAGGTGAAGGCTCTGAAATGAAGGTGCGCAGATACCTGAGTGATGGATCAGAGGTTAGCAGAGCTTTTAGCGGGTTCAAACAGCAGGCGTTTACAGCCGCTTAGCCTGTCATCCTGCTCCTCCTAATGAGCCGCTGTGGACCTGCTAATGAAAGCTCTCAGCTAATGTGAGCTCTCATTACACTCCGACTCATGACGCTCTGAGAGGAAGAAGAAGACCGGGACGTTTTATTCACTTCTAACTTTACGGTTTTTAAGGATGAGGTTTTAAAGACGATGAACTCGAGTTTATTAGATTTAAAGTGAAGAAATAAAACCAGAGATGAGACGCTAGTTTGAGTATTTAAGAGTCGGTTTGTACTGGGCGTTTACCTGCAGGAGCGCCAAAAACTGCAGTTCCTCAAACGTCCACTTGGGGCTGTGTACAAAAGCGCTAAAAGCCACATACACACCCGTTCAAAAAAAGCTCATCTACACTGAAAATAAACATAATTTATCAACACTCCTCTGTAAAATGAAGACTTGATTTTTAGTCGTTTTGTTTGAACCGTGTGGACACTTCGTCGTCGCAGTGATGTCGGATAACCGCACTAAACTTCAGAGGAGTTTAAGATAACCCGGGATTTTCACCACATCCGAAATGGCGGCGTTTGTGAGGCAAATTTCATGGCAGATTACGGACAGCAGGAATCGCGAGAACTCACAGGAACCGGCAGAGTTGTCTCTCTAAAGACAGACACATAGACATATAAGCAGTAGATTGTGTCCTTCCAGAGGAGGAAATCTACTTCTAGAGTGTTTTATTTTGAAAAGAAGCCGGATGTTTTATTTTGTATCTGTGCCCGACTTCCTTTCCAGCACGGGTTAATCTGTGCTGAATTTATCCGCCATGCTCCGGCGTCCAGAAAAAATAGAACTCTTGTGATCAGCTGAGGAGTCCGGCGATCCGCAGAGGAACGGAAAGAAGTCGGTGTAAATTGACACGTTAACTTGAATGGTTACGATCAGCTACGATCGGAGGATACGACCTTTTAGGAGACGATCAGGATGAGGGTGGAGATTGAGGATAATTTAGCTTCACCCTCGCAGCTCATTTCAATAACTTCAGAAGACTTGTCCTGAGCCAGACCTGGTCCTTTTGAGACCGAGTTGAAGGGCGTCCTCACCTGCAGCTCTTCAAACCTCCTCTTGCCTGGAGAGTCCGTCTCACCTCCTCCCCGCTCTGATGTTTCCTCTCTAGAGAACAGCAGGATGTTTTCAGGACATCATCCCACCACTGAGGACTCCTTCATAAACAAAGACCAGGAGGACCTGGAGCTGATCATGTAGAAAGACCTTCATGATGCTCAGAGCTTGTTTTGAGACGACACAGCTGTGTCAAAAGTAAACGGTGGATTCACTCCATGATCACCTGCCCCCCTGTCCGTCCTGCTTTATGATTTTTTATGTCATTTAAAGTCGAATGAAGGAGAACAGGACTCTTCTTTTAATACATTCTATTCCCAAAGATGTGAACATGAGGTGTGAGCGCCCCCTGTCTGTGTCTGGACTCAGTCTGAACACGTGGAGGGGGATTCTTCTCTGGAGGCCGCGCAGCCATCGGCGCCCGGCTCTGTCTGATCGTACAGTTGTGGATTTTTGTGGACGAGCCAAAGACGAAGACAAAGAGAAGAAGGGGTGAATCTACACCCACACACACACACACACACACACACACACACTTAAAGCTGTTCCCCCCAGGGTGCAATTTTCACCTTTTCTTGGAGGTGACTGCGACAGAAGAGAAAAAAAAAAAAACACCTCTCCGCTGCCACAAATAGACTCCAGCTTCTTCACTCCTGAGCTGCAGCTTTGTGCTAATTTTCCAATTCCCAGCTCGTTGATAATAAAGCCGTACCTCTGCAGTAATATAAGATAATGTTGATGGTAGAGTCAGAAGTAAAGGGAGCCTGGCTGTGCCATTTACACGTATTTCCAGACGCAGAGGGCTCGGGAGCAGATGTGCTGCCAACACTTAATTTTCAGCCTTTGTTAATGAATGTGGGGGATTATGCTTCAATTATGCAGCAATTAGCAAAAAATAAAAGATAAACTGGAAGATGAGAGCGTGTTATCGTCTTCACCACACGGCTAATAAAACACAGAGGCACCAGAGGGAGAGAAAACACCAGGAAATGTCTCATCTGGTGGTTTCACATCTGAAAAATTAAAAAAAAAAAAACACAGAAATTAACAAACGGGAAAATTCTACGAACTCGTTTCATGTAAATCAATAAGATAATATTTTTGGAGGTTTTCTTCAATATTTCTGCAGAAAGTTTCTTCTGAAAAATCACCCTCTATAAATGACAGCCTGACTTTTTAGTTTGACGGATAACTGTTGATGTTTGTTTAAAGTCTGTGAGGAAACAGTTCATTAGTTCATATTTGACGTTTCAGAGAGTTAAAGGGATATTCTGGCGCAAAATTAATTTAGGGTCAAACCCACCGTAACACCGAGTTAGACCCCCCCTCCAGAGATGAATGTTGTCGACCGCTTACTTCTCTAGTTTTACCAACTTTAGTAACGACCGCCGGATAGCATAAATGATCATAAATGTTCTTCCTTGAGCTGCGGCACCCCGCTGTAGTCCGTAATGGACTGACCTGAGGTCTCTCTACAAACAAGCATCTGCTGGAAGAGAGTAGGTGAGTTGTGTTTAGTCTCTTTGCTAAAGAAATGAGTCAAAGTTAAAAAGATGTTTGGTGTCTAGTACTATGGCTGTGACCCTATATGTACTAACCTGAGTAGAACATGGTGTAGTTCCGTTCAGAACAGAACCTCATTGGAAAATTAGCTGATTTAACTTTACTGTGCTCTTGTTCAAATATATTAACTCGACAGCACATAAATCCATACCTGTTAACAAAATCATGATTTTATTGATAATTCGGCTCAATAAAAACACCTTTACCTTTTCATTTTACTACAGTAGAATTTTATTGGCCCAGCTTACAGACTACAGAAGTGGAGAAACGCCCCCCGCTTAAGTTTATGTTTTCTTAGGAGTTAGAACAACTCTGAATATAGTACTATGTCTGTGACCCTATATGTCCTGTTGATGAAGTTAGGTGCTGTTCTGAGCATTATTTGTGGCT